AAGCAGTGGTATCAACGCAGAGTACTGAATTGTTCGCGAACTTCTGGAACGGTATGAACGCAGCCTTTGGAGCCGATACTGCTACCATACAGCAGTCGATGAGAATCGGTATGAGAAATGACACTATAATGCTGGTCATTTCAGCATTAAATAGAATAGCAGCGGTACCAGCGGCATCGTATAGCTGAAGCTTTTCGTGAAAGATTAAGGGCAGTGTCTCGTAATGTCGTTTTCAGATTTACTTTGTTGAAGTCTTCTCGCTATAAGGAAGCCATATCGTGGCTTCTCCGCGCATGAAAATGGCGAAAATGAGCTTTTTCCGAAGCTTTAACCGCATTCAGTGGAGAATACGTGTAAGTGAACGGATCCTGGAAAGAGGGGAGCGAATGACCTCCGGCGTATCTTCACTGGATGTGGTCTTGAAAAGCTTCGAAAAAAGCTCATTCTTGCCATTTTGATGCGCTGAAAAGCCCAGAAATGGATTTCTCATGGCGAGAAGGCTCCGAAATGGTGGAGAACTGGAAAACGAAATTTTGCCGAGACACTGCCGTTAACGCTTGCATTTATAAAAACTTGATCGCGGTTGGGGTTCAGAGATAGTTGGCACAATACTGCCGTAATTTCCGATTAGTCATGCGACATGGACCTAGATTTTGCAAACGATGGGTGGTCTGTTCCCAGATCGTATAGATCTATACGATCTGGCCTCCGCCTCGAGGCGGAGTCATGCCAGCTCGAAGCGTAGCGGCTTCAATCATCGCTATCGGGATAATTCCTAGATTCACTACGCGGTACAAATAACCCGTTCTGTCGGGAGAATTTTGCATAAGTAGTTGCCAATCGACTAAACAACTCGTCAAGCTCGGCATCGGACATTCCTCAAACAGTCCAGCTTACAGTAAGATGTTTCACCTCAAGATAAAAAACTTACCAACACTACAAGCCATATTTAAATATCCACCGTGCTGTTCATTACAATGTGACCCGAAGTTTACAAATTCATAGCCCTCTACAGAGGTTACATTCGTTGTTGACGATATCACTCTGGAAGATTATATTAAATAACTCGATGTAAGGGAAGCGATTAAAAAAGTATCCCACAAAAAATTACCTTGCACCAGACACTCCACGGTTGAACAAAATTGAACCAAATAGTGTTTGCTTCTCTTTCGGAATGGAGGACAGAGTGAGAGCTGGCACAAGAAACAAAAAAGTTAACAAAAAGGGAGGCAATCAGTCCCTACCCAAACTAATCATATTGTCATCAACTTCGTAAACACACTCTCCTATTTCGTTTGCGAAGGAACTCAGGCGCTTTTTCATTTTGAGGAATAGCCTGTAAGTTAATTTAGAGCATAATAAGAGCTCGAATGAGGCAGGCACTTGCGCTGGAAACAACTGAAACTCTATGATAAAGAAATTATGACCTTCTTTGATTCTCGTACGTCTCCAGCAATCCTCTACGACCTTGACTCAATAGCGTAAGTACGAGATCTCGAGAGGGTACGCCGGATCCTCGTCCTAAATTTGAAAATCTGCTCGAACTTGCAGTGATTGTAGGAAGATATACCTGGATAGAATTTAGCGATAGGCACAATAGCACTTTGCTTGAAAGTTCCTATGATAGCACCTCCTACAGGCACCTGAAACAAATGAATAATACAAGTGATCTACTTATTCCAACTCGAAACCCTATCACATGCTATGATGATTTTACAGCTACGTTAGGCTGGATAGAGACAAAATGGAGAATGTGCTAGTGATACAGTGAACAGCGATATTTCTCGTACAAGCAATAAGAGAGACTCCAATCATGATAAAATTGATGCTAGTCCCTTTAGCACCAATGATTGATATCGATCTACTATTAGCACTAGCACTAGCACTAAGCATTAATTTGCGAGCACTGTTCGAACGAATTCCAACAACATTTCAAATTCCAAACTCAAACTCATGGTTGTATTCAGAAATTAAGAGAAGAGTGACTTCACCAAAGACGCTAGGGATTTTTTTTGCAGCGCGGTATTCACACATCACCGTGGCAGCCTCAATGTCGCATAGAATAGCCAAAATAAATATTCTGAAAAAAGTCGTGCAGGAAAAATCTCTAGCACTGCATTTTTACCTGCGAATACATTGTTTGACATCCAAATACAAGTCCGAATTTCTGGGAAAGGTGTTTCTATCGTAAAATGGCATTTTCAAAGGAATTGGTTTTGTGTTATCAAGCGAAACTACGCGTGACACAATGATGTATGGAATTTTTCTGTACGAAATTCTCACGAATTTTTTTAGGCGAGTCGACAAATTACAAAGTTTTTGGCAATCAAACTGAAAGTTATAAAATTTGTATTGCCACTTCTAGATTTTCAAGAATTTTTCCTTTTTAAAAGAAAATTTTGAGGCGGCAAGTCGTCGATTTTATGAGAAGTTTTTGAGAAAATTCGCATAACGAATTTTAGAGTGCGTGCTTCCTCCCCCCTCCCCCCCCCCCTCCTTCCGGTTGGAATTGGGCCGCCGCTGCTGAATGGGTAATCTGGAAAGTTATTGGATTTTCTTTGAATTACGTAAAGCTCTCTCGCCAACCTAGTACCGTAATTATCGCATTATGTATTTGCATTCTCCAACGAAATTTATTGCACTCGCTCAAGTTGTATAATTGCACATGCCATGAATGTCTATCTTGAGACACTGCATTATTAAGTATGCGTGTCACTCTCTCAGAACACGAAGAGACAAACCTGGAAATTTTTGTCGAGAGACTGTACAAAGGCATCAATTCGTCCGGCTGCTCGGCCCTAAATCCGCTGTAAGTTAATAAGTACAAGACTCATACTTTCGTAAAACAAATTAAGTGGCTTGCATTCGCTTCCACGGGGATTGCGAGAAGCTTTCGAAGCTTCTGAGAGCTCAGCAAATCACTCCAGGCATATGTGCTTCATTCCAAGAAAAGAAAAGCTTTCTTTGTGACTATTTTGCACAAGAATATGGGACAAGCCAAGCTTCATCACAGTACTGGTCGTGATTTGTGAAGAAAATCCACTCCGCTGAAGATCGCCGAATTTCGAGTTGCATTGCCATATCAGTGTTAACGAAATGTGATTCGAAAGCATAATTGAACTCGACTCGATAAGGTGCATCTTATAATACATAGAGATGCCTGTTCGCGTGGTAGTCGGTATTTCACAGATCTTCCCAGAGAAGAACTACTCAGAGGTTTATCCATTGCACAACTAGTAATCTACGGTAAGCAATAGCCTACAAAGATCCGTGAAATTTGACGGACTACCATGCCCAATTAGGCAACAATTCTGTACATGGGAAGATGCATGTTGTCGAGCTGACAAGAGAAGCGTGTTTCGTCGAAGTGACCTTTCCGGATGAGACCCATACTGCTTTGAGAAACAATAAGTGGTGTTTCCAAATCTGACTTCCAAATCTGCCAAGCGCCTCTGGATGCCGAGTTACGACCGTTTCTTGGATCGAAAAATGAATGTAGAATTTAGGAAAAATCGATTGTTACAATCTTTTTAGCGCTCAGATAAAGCAATGTTTAGTATTACCATATTAGACAAAATGTATCCATTGCATAAACGGCTCTGACACTTGACAGTGGAACCATTTCAGCAAATTTGGGCAATTTGTTCTAATTTTGCGTTCAATTTTTTGACTTAAAAAACGCCCACGACTTGGCGTCCAGAGGCGCTTGGCAGATTTGGAAGGCAGATTTCGAATCAACGCTTAATGCTTTTTACAGCAGCATGGGTATCATTCGAAAAGGCCACTTCAACTAAACGCGCTTCCCTTGTAAGTTGAATGGTGCTTTTATATCCAAAATTCTAAACTCTGAAGCAAGATACATCGAAGCGACGCAAAGTTCGATGAACTCCAACATAGGCGGTGGTTTTTTTTAATCATAAATTACGACTGGTATTGTATTTTTGACGCATAGGTCTTATAAATCAAGACTTGGGGCTGATAGATGATGTTGATATTCACGCACAGATATCCGCTAATTCAAACAAAGTGCGCTATAAGAGAAGTTCAAGCGGTTCAGAATGCCTCGAAAACCTATCCAAAGTTACTTAACTTTTTACAATATGGAATCAAATCGTTTTTAAGCAATTTGATTTTGAACATATTGAGATAACGCTGGCGAACATGCAACTGGGGAACATTTATTATCCGTGTAGAATAGAAATACAACAAAAGAAAAGCGATCCTTACACATAGTTTAATGCTTGCAGAATATTTTTGAGGGTGGAGAAGAAGAGTAAAAAATTTTAATTTTTGTTAAGTTTTTCTTGATTCATCTTTTCACCCCAAAATAAAAACCTCCACTTTTTGAGAAAGATTTCAGAGTCTATTATTCACAGAGACATCATGCATGATTTTTCAAGGTCAATCAAGTTCACAAAATCGTATATTTGTGAGTAGTACACGAAAGTACTGCATAAAAGCATGAAATTTGAAGATTTTAGAGATTCTAATTATTTACCGTTGATAGCGAGTTAGTTGCATAGTTTCAGAGTTCAAATGGCAGTTCTAGAGTTCTCGACCCCTTCATTCCCAGAAAACGAAACTCCGTGGCAAGCAATATGTTGGTAGATATGAGTGCAAAGTAATTCGAATATGCTGCAAATTTCTCTATTTGTGGTATTTGCAAGCATTCACTTTGTATAGAAGCTAGGTCAATTGCTTAATGCCCATTATGGAGCTCCATTCAGCGCCTTCCACAAAACAAATGCACTAGAGCAAAAGTGAGTGTTCTGTAATTTCTCACCGCATTTATTCTCCTAACGCATTCCTCACTCTGAAGTCCATAAGCATTGTTGACTAGATGTGGCACATTATGCTCCTATAGTCAAATAGAGATGCCAGGTACACTGACCAAAAATAGAAAAAATCCATGCCTGACAAATACCCGCGATAGCTTCCAATGAGTCTGGACTGCGTGGTGCAAAACAGGATGTTGTAGACATCACACAGAGAATCTGAAGCCCCTTTGGTATCGAATTATTAAATCATCGGGATGACAGATACCTCATCTGCGCGTTGCTCCAATATCCTGTTTACATTTTCCACATCGGTCACTAAAGCATCGCCCTCTCGAATGGGATCCACAATCAAAGGTTCATACCCTGAAAATTGATTTGTAATACAAGACGTCCACACCACAACAACAATGGACATTCAGCTACCACACTGAAAGGAAATCGTCATATCTCTCCCCATAGGTAAGCCCCGCTGACTGGCAAGGGGCAAATTGAGGGCAAATTGGTGAAAAGATTAACATTAATTTTACTACCAGGTTTCTAACTTCTATGCAAACTTCCGCTTTACTGCAATTTCCTTTGAAAAGCTCCAGACTCATAAACTTTTTCTCACTGTTGATGATTTCTGTATCATCAACCATTCATGAACTCTGTATTCTATATAGCCTACGGAATCCCCGTAGGCTAAATGGTGAGCTACTCACTCTTGAGTATCTAATCACTCAAGATTGAGTGGTATCCGTGCGCCAGGAGTGTAGCCAATCGGCGGCATCTCCTTTCAAGCACCAACTCGTGTACATTGTACCTTGTACCCGGTTCAGCTCCGCCTTCCTTCGTATATAAGGAGCCTCCGAATGTATTAGGGGTTGCTCCCCGGTCCACACCGGGACACCTCAAACTTCTTCACGACTAATCTACGCCCGTGCGAATAAATCTATATTCCACAACCTCGTCTACCCCTAATCACTTGGTACCCACCAAACTCACTAGTCCTTGAAGTTTTCAACCAATAACAAGGAGACTGACAAAGTCGCGCAAGATTTGTTTCTATAACTCTTGCGTCTGAAAATACTCTCGCGAAGAACTTGAGGTTTTTGAAATCTTTTAATATGGCAGCTGACATCATAGCGATCATTTCATAGGTTAATATACAGACTTAGTGAGTTGAACAACGTCAAGCTTCGAAATGACAGAAGAAAATCAAAGAAATCTTTGGCAATATAACACTCATACACTGGGGTAGATTATGAGCTCGTATATCTGCTCCGAAAAGCTCTAATTCATTCTTTCATTGTTTTTCCATCAAAGAAAGGCAGACATTACCTGCATGCAAGATACACTTAAAGCATGATTTCTGATCGACCCGAAGCCAGACGACATATTTTGCCTTTGGTCTTGCTTTTCGCCATGATCCCATGCACAAAGATAAGGCCATACCAGTACATAATGGCACCACGAGAGCAGCTTTGCAGGCAACAATTCCTGCAAATTGCATTATGCAGATATCTTGTTGTTTCTTTTGAAAGGCGGTTCTTATTTTCGCTAAAAACATCTCACCGATCTCCTGCAAAGCATGCAGAGCAAACTCATTTGCAAGGCAGGCAAGCATGGAAGAGCCAAGAGCTTTTGGTTGGATATCTCCGATGTTTCCACTCCTTCCGATTCCATGAGAAAGGCTAAACGAGATGCTCATAAAGAGGTGTGAAGCAACAGTCAGTGGTGTCAAGTAGTTTCCAACATGATATCGCACTGAGATCATCAAGACAAATTTTTCAGAATCTCATCCATCTAGAGCACTAAAAAAATTAGCGACCATGAATGAAAAACAAGCTCCCGCCGCATGGACTCACAAAGGGTTTTTTGTATATGAAACAAAGCTGTGGAAACTTTTCAAGGCAAGAAAAAACTGTGCATAAAAACACCTTAATTGTGAATGGCAGACAAGGATTGGAAGGAAGACACGAGCGTTTATTGTAATCGTGACAATGTTTTGACCTTAGAATGGATGAGATCAAGAGTTTTACTAATAGCTTATTATCAGTTGTGCAAGTGGTGCAAGTGCTTTCGAAAAAAGTTGGTGACGGGGAATTGAGCAGCATAGCAAGCAGCTATTTGAAAAAACTCACTTGCAATGCAATCGTCTTACTAGCGGACAGACTACGCGTCCTTCTCTTTCTCCAGCGCCTACTGTAGCCTGGAAGAATCAATAGTAGTTAACGAAAAACATGATAATTTTTGCCTCAAAAATAATAATCATCATATCGAGAACTGTCGTTTCTTTTCTGATGATCGCCTGATTATTGGGAAACGAGATACAGAATCAAAACGATAACCGAGCTCATTGTTAGAAATCTGATATCTAAACTTATGAAGGCGACTTAGAGACATCTTGTGAATCAAGTCATTTCGCAGAAGAAAGAACATAAGGAAGCAATTTTATACCATGTAGTAAAAGAAGCCTTTGTGAAACTCGAAAGAAAATCTGATACGCCTTAAATATGAGATCAATATTTTGAGATTTTCGAACAAGTTGGGGGTTTTTTTAAACTTTGTATGCCTTTCCGAATTTTTGCGCTTAATCGTGTTTTCAGAAGTAAATGTAATGAGCAGATTGAAGTGGAAGTTCGCCAACTCTTCAGATATGTGGTTCCCATCCAACTTTAAATAAAGACTTCCTCAAATACCTACAATGTCCACTCTGTTGTTCGTATCATGACAAGCAAGCCAAGAAAGAAATAATTCGAGTGCATGTTCTGGCCAGCCCTCTTCCGGTATTCGCTTCTAAAAGGAATGGAATCATATAGCTGACAATAATTGGAAAATCTAATCTCGGTAAGAAAAGGATGTTCAATAAGACTCTGGCACAGTCCATCTCCATTGGAGGGGAAGCAGATGAGCTCATTTCTCGTCATGAAGAGATATCAAAATTGGTGTACTGCAGTACTCAATAGCTCAAAAACTTGATAATTGACCGCACTTATTGAAGAGTTTCTTTGAAATCTATATATATATATATATATATATATATATATACATATATATATATATATATATATATATATATATATATATATATATATATATATATATATATATATATATATATATATATATATAACTCAATTTCTGTGAGGATGTTCGTTTAGTTGTTCGTTCGTTATACAAACGCGCGCCACTGAACCGATCCGGCTGAAACTTCGCACACGTATATTTTCGACCCCGACGGTGGTTTAGAGCTACTTTCCGCGGCGATTCGCCGGGCCATTCTATCGATTTATCGATTTGTTTACTCAAACCTTATAAAATGAAGGGCCATCATGGCAACCGATCATTTTCACATATAAGCATGTAAGCAGGGGCGGTAAAGTCCATTTCAGTCTTAAAGTTGGTAGGGTGCGGCAATTAGTCTGAAAGCGCTTTATGCGCATGTTAGAAGAAATTTAGAGGTGTAAGTTTACAAGTTCTGTTGGCTTAACTAACTTGAAGTCCCGGGTGAGACCGGGGCCACCAGCTAGTTATCGCTAAACTTGAAAGCTAAACCTGCATCGGTACGAGAGCACGTAGGATATACAATAACCACTGTTAGGTAATTTGGTAATTTTTGACTTATAAAACTCCCATTTTAGATATCCAGGAACTTTTAAAGTCAAAGAGATACTAACAAAGAGCACGATGGGCAGCTTCTCTCCGTGACAAAAAAAATGTTTCCTCATTTTCAACGAGTTACGGAGAATAATGTGCCAATGCTATTTTCCATTTTATATGGTTCGTATCCTAGCTGTTCGACCCTACAGCTTATACATGAGCACTTATGACTGTGAAGTCGAATTCCATGGCCGGCAAGAAGCCATAGCGTTTGTTTCCGTGAGAGAATTTTTTTCAAGATCTTCTCTTAGGAAATTTGAACCTACTCAAGCGCAACGCAGCGCGAGGTTTTATGTTGAGTTCGCAAAATTGTGACTGCAAAAACTTGGCCAGAAATCTCCTTCGCAGGTGTCCAGAATATAACTGTTATCCAACGAAAAGCTAAGCATATATTTAGGTTAATGCAAAAATAATGAGGGTTTTGCGAAGTCTCACTTTGACTTGCTATAACTTCCTAAATAATCTACATTTCCAAATGCGGAAGACCATCGGAAGCAGCAGGACTTCCGCAATACAGCCATATTAAGCTGTACTCTCACAAATAGTCAGAAAAATATGGATTGAAAAACAATCTTTGACAAATCATAATTTTTCTGAAATTTGTCAGTATTAATGATAGCCTATATTGCAGCCCCAAGCCATTAGCGCGCATGAGGAATAAAGGCTTGAGCAAAGAAGATTCAAAATTTGTCAGTTTTTTCGTAATATTTTCATAGGCTCAAAGCCCTGTATTGTAAAGTTTATGGCCTTTCTGCGTACTAATTAGCTAAACATCGTGCAGAAACTATCAACAGGAGATCTATCACTACACTTACAGAAATGAGCAAAGGTTTAGCGATTTCCTTTTATTGAGAAGAAATTTATAAGCCACAGAATTGCTAAAACAATTACCCATGTTGAGGCGTCGATATTCCGGTCTAGAAGATTCTTGAAAAATCAACATAGTGTACATAATGTAGACATTTTCTATTACATACAGCAGCTGCATTTCCAAAAGAATGCCTTTATTCGCTCTTGAATTTTGGTCAGACAAGTAAATGCAATGGAATTCTGATTTCAAGTCCGGTTATTTAAACCTCTTAACCTCTAACAAACCCTTTTCAACCATAGATAGATAGAGCATGAAAATAGGTCCTCAACAGTATGCTAAATCTTTTCCTCAAAAGAAATTTTGGGTAGAAAAAAAATATCCTGAAAAAGGCATAGGAGAACGCTCACTAATTTTGCATCAACCTAATAGATGATGTTGATACTGAGGTAAAGTGCCTTGCTTAGCCTACTTTGATTTTGCCCCAAGATGACTTCGAGTCGTATATTGAGTCGTTCCAAAATTAATCCTGCTTTTTTCAAACGAACGTGATATCTCGCAGAACAAAAGTCCCAGAAAGATTTTGGGCGCATTTGATGCAGCATCTTACCTTTTTCAAATGGTGGGTCATACTAGCCAAACTAACCTACGAGTCAAAACATAACATTATTATGACCCCGTCGTATTCGCAAAAGTCAAGTTATTTACTTTTTTTGAATTTCTTCATTTGCTCTCCAAACAAGTCCAAGCAACGGTTGAGTAAAACAATCCCTAAACAATACACAATAATTTTTCTTCATCGCCATAGCTCCTCAAAAATTAAACCGGATTTTAGCAGGCCTCTCGGGCGCAAATGCCACACCAATAAATTGTCAGAAAAACAGACTACCAAAAAGTGACTTTGGTACAACACTAAATTTATATAGCAAATGAGCGTCTGCATTTGAAATATCAAATCACAAATCATCATTTCTGGGGTAGCCTGAGGCGGTTCAAAAAAATAAATCATGATGTTGTCCTGACACAATTTATGAATCGGACAAGAGGGCCCTATAGAGAGAGGAGAAAAGACTGCATTGGATGACATCCGAGTTGCTGGCCAATTGATTTTCAAGGTTGAATAAACCACATATAAGTTTGATAGCATCAAAAAATTCAATATTTGAAAGCTAAACTATAGAACAAAATTAAATATTTTGTATCCTGTAGAGTTAGCTCTTTGTAAGTTTTTCGGCCTTTGCCGGGGGTTGAGTACGAAAATCCAAAAATTTAGCGAAATTTGATCATAGCCGAAACCATGGGACGAAGTTTGGTTATTTTCTTGGCGCTCGTTCGTCAAACTGTAACCTAGGAAATACAATTGGAAATAGGATAAGGAGCTTCATAATATCAAGTCCACCTCAGACTTCATTCTTATCAGAGACAGCGTCATCCAAATTCTATGCACACCTCACTTAGTCTATGAGCAGGCCCTAAAAGTAGACCAATTGCGTTAATCCGGTCCCCTGATGTTGCCTATAAAAGGGGAGAATGATTTGCAAAATGGAGGATCCTTTATCCGCCCCGCCCCCTTTTTTTCCGCATCACCCATCCAAGCTTGCTTCATGACAAGTTTGACATGGCAGGGCAATCGAGTGCATACTGTGTGATATGGCACTAGGGCTCTCCACAGCGTGGCCGAAAAGACATAAAATTGCGACGCTTTTTTAGTCGACGTTTCATTTTTTTGAGATTTTTTACCTTTAAGGTTTAGTCGAAGGGAACTTCGTACAAGACTTTTAAGGTCAAAAGGGACTTCGTTCTGGAAATTCCGTGGTGCCAGCTCGTGCCGAGCCCTGTGGCACTGTTGCATGAGAGTGCATACGACGTGACCAGCGCAGGGCGCTCGTCCATTTCTGCCAACAGGGCATCAGAAGGGGCAATTTTTGGGCTTTCCCGTATTTTGCACTTTATGTCCGAAATTAAGGCCATGGAAGGCGATAATATAATAATAAAAAATAATAAATAATACGATAATAATAAAAACATGGAAGTCACAATTTTGAGTGGACGCTGCATTCAAGGACGATATGGAGAAAAGCAGCTGTCTATTATAGTCGCAAGCGTGCATGCAAAGATTTTCAAGATCATGCGCTACCACAATAAGAAGAACGATAGTAACCAAAAAAATCAACTTTTTTCCTGTAGCGACTGCAAGCAAGCACTAAAATGTACAATGTAGAAATTAGTGAATGTCGACAACTATAGGCCATTCATTTCATGCAGGGACAGGCCCCATTGCAAACGCAGTCGGAGTTTCTCGAGTCAAACAAAATATTCTTCTAACCGTCTGCAGTCTCTCCCAGACAAGAAGTATCTCGATCGAAGCCAATGGAGTCTAGTCTTCGCGTGCAATAAACTGTCTAAATGTGGAGTGAGACAGGAATATATGTTACAGAAGGACTCCAAGTGTACCCAGTTTGTTTGCAAAGAATGAAAGACTTAGACTTGTAAAGGGATAAATCAAACTCAAGCAAGTAAAAGATAAAATTATGGAAAGGTCTGAATTAATTTCTAAGCCAATGAGACATCCACCGGATGCCTTCTGCCAGGCCCAATATTCTAGTAAGTGTAAGACATACCTGCTCCCATAGAGAATTCAGCAGCTTAGCGCTTGCTTTTGAGACGATACGTGAATATTCAGCCTCTCCATTACCGAATGAGGCCTTCATGATACAACTAGAACAACGTGGTGTATTGTTAGCACCTACGGCATGAGTATCTGATCGGTAGTCCATTCTCGAGCGATGCAAAATGACATAACAAGTGAGTGGCAGCGCGGGCGCAAAAAGACAACCAACTATTCAAAGCCATTTCCGGCCCGGCTTCTGTGCCTTTATTCACTCGCAAGCGTCTAGGTAATTTCAGAGGCGACCTATGAATGAGGACAAAACGAGAAAGCAGCTGCGAAACCATGTTTACTCTCTAGCAACGACAACAATCAGACATGATTTACGATAGCCGATAAACAAAAAGATACATCGTGAAAGAGGATGTCCGCTCAAATATGTACATAGATAACAGTTGAGAAATTCTATCGTTCTAATGGAGCAAGTCCAAGTTTTGCTCGAAGTGCATTTGCTTCCTCGATCTCGCGTTCTTCGTCATCTTTGCTACTCTTCTTGCTTCTGTGATGATCCCGATCATCACGATCTCTGTCCTCGCGTCGTGTGCGATCACGAGAACGATCTCTGTCTCGGTCTCTGTCACGATCTAAAGCACTTCATCAAGCTAGAAGAGTAAACTAAAGCGTTCCCACATAGAAAAAGGAATAAAATGTCTACGCCAGTCGATTTCATGCTCCAATAAGCACATGACTAATGCGCGACAACTTGAGGAGTCTATGCAATGAACTACTAATGTTTTGAGCCTGATAACACTTTTCGAAAGAGAAAATTGTTTTTATCGCACCTATCACTAACTGTTATTGTTGTCTTATAGCCTTTTACCCTATCTAATACCAAAGTAACCAATTATAAAAGCACTTCAGTGATATCAACTTTAGTAATGCTTTACTTTTCAATTCGGATTGAAGTTGGTGCTGTCGGGTTCCTTCAATGCACAAGTGGGACCACGTTGAGAGCGTGGCCAGCTGTTGTGACCGTTCGTGAGAACAATTCGACCACTCCACCCCTTCTCACTGACTACTTGATCAAGTTTGTTTCTGCGTATCTATTTAAATCGTACTATCGAGTTGCTACCATAGTTTCACGCAAAAGCACCCCCTCCCATTATAATTTTGGTTTTCAAAAAAAAATCTCGTTTCAAAACTATTGCGTTGACCTTGGGAAAACGACTGAACACTTTGCCCTAAGAACAGGGATGTCAAGTCTCAAATCCAGAAGGTGAGAAAATGTGAACATGACAAGCATTCTTGGTCTAACAGGTTTTTTTGAGTCGCCAGTTTTTGACAAACATTGTCTTTATAAGCGAAAAAGGTGCAGAGAGCGCGAACAAAGAGAAAAGCAAAAAAGTGTGTGATGTGTGAAAAAAAAGCTAACCACGTCCTCTGTCCCTTTCCCTATCCCGCTCTCGTGATCGTTCCCTGTGCCTATCGCGGTCTTTGTCGTGGCGATCGCGATCCCTCTCCCGATCACGATCTCGTTCTCTGTCTCTCGATCGATCTCGCTTCCTGTCATCACGATCTCTGTCTTTTGTCTTCTCTCTTGGTCTATCGCGCTCTCTAGAACGATCTCTGCTCCGACTTCGTCTTCTTGAGATAAGGCGCGGTTTCTCCTGCAAATGACAGTGGTAACTAAAAGCCCAAATTCCACTCTCAGATTCTGGCTCGAGCTGCATGAGCCTGTGCAACCAGCACCGATTTCTGACTCACTGTTGATTCAGATGAAAAACTTCACAGTGCTCTTTCGCATAGGCGCTGCATGGTCTTTCTAATAGGCTAAGCTTATCTCACAGTTTTTACAATGCTATTTCTTGTTACCTTTCGTTTTTCTTTCTTCTCTTTTTCATCTTCGCTGTCTGATGCACTCAAAGCGTCAAGATCCTCATCCAACAGACTTCGATACGGTTCCAGTTCGCCCACTTCCTCTAGAGCCTGACGTTTCTGCAAGATATTTTCTGAATTTTCTACTTTGCATCAATATCGAGCATTAGGAAAATAGTCACCTGTAATCGAGGCAACTGTATATCGCAGTATCGCTCTTCTCTAAGAAGGTTATCGATGAACTCATCCATATATACCAACTCAAATCCTAAAGATACAGTGGGATGCCAATCATCTAGACAATCTGAATAACAAAGATGACAACCTACTTCCTTGTTTATTCATATACCGCAGCTTGCGGTAATCGTTAAATAAGGGTTCCAGGTATTTATATATTTCTACCGAGGGGAAAGTCAAACGAAGATACATGGCGCCCAATGCGCGCGCATACCTATGAAAGTATAATTTTTGATGGGAAAAGAGAAAAAATGCTTACTTGCTCTGCTCCTGCTGAATGAATTCAATTATAATGTCTTTTTCAGGTTGAATTTGCAGCATCTTGAGAGAAAGACATAGAAAAGGTGTAGGTTTTACATTGCCGGCATAAATTCCACCAATATAACGCAGTTCAAGGGCACGATCGACAACCAGATCAGCTGAACCAAATCAATTTAACAAAAAAACCGAATACTGTAGACGAAGAATGTTGTTATACATTATTTTAACGGCAGGAAAAAATGTCTGAGCAGGCAAATATACTTTGGACCAAGTGGACACCGCACTCACCACTAAGTGCGAAACAAAACTCTTTCCAATACTTGCTGTCGTATATACGTTGTCGAATGATTTTCTCTATGAGAAACTGAGGATTGGTACCTGAAAAAATTTGGAGAAATATCGTGTACGCGTAATTTTCAAAATGCAACTGATCGTGAAAGTGATTTGCGAATAACGAACCTCGCACGGTATGCGCATCTTTAGCCGTACGATTGGCCATCTGAAGTAACTTGTCGAACTTTGTGAGAACCTGGCTCGATTACTTCGATGAGTACTAGAAAACGATATGAAAAACATAACTCGGTGAGCACGCGGTATATGATACTCGACAGGGACATTGAACCGATCACGAGCAAGTAAAACTTCATAGATATTCGGATTAAGACCCACGTACACCAAAGTAAGTGACGGAGACGAATTTATTTTCATGGACATACAACAACAAGAATCTTTCGATCACATAAATAATACAGCCAGATCAGTAAATTTTCTTTTTGACAATTTCAGGCCGCCATACGATAGGATGTGTTTCTTCTGTCTGAAACAAAGTAAAGTCATCATAAGTGCATAGAAAACCATACAATCCTGACTATCCTACAAAGCAATCATCGTACTGTCTCAAGAAACTACACCCTCACCGCCTCTTCATCTTCTTTGTACATTTTGATGGTTTTGTCAGCCTCTCCAGTAATGAGACGTAAGCCAGTTTTATCATAACACATCGCATATATACCAGCCTCAGAGTCAATAGATCCCGGCTGCGGCTTTGTTTGTATTTTCTAGAAGTTAAAGGCACATTTCGAAAGTGCAGATTACGGTAGTACTAGTACTAGCAGCAGAACTAACCTGGAAGCAAAAACCTGAACGCCAATCCCAGAAACATATGGATCCGTTGTCTCCTCCAGACACAAGAACACCGTCCTCGTTGCAGACCAAAGAATTAACTATTGCATTATGTCCAGAAAGATTCTGAAAAGTTTCTCTCAGTAAAAACGAGTATTGTGCAGCTGACAGTGACAAAGCAGCAAATTCATCCCTATGTATCTGTACTAAAAAGGGAAATTTAACAGATGAGACAAAGTATGACCGAGTTTCCGGTCATATACCATTGAAGTCACAGAATGTAAGCTACTCCTCTGAAATAAATAACAGTTTGAAAAGTTCGAAAGTGACAAGTTGGTAGAAAAATATCATTTCACCAGACAGTGATGCATTTTCACAAACAACCTTGCGCAGAACCTTTATGATGCACTGACGTAGAGTTTTTAGTAAAAAAAAATGGATACGTAATAGACGTAGCTTTTTATCTTACAGTTCTTATAATTCACCATATCATGACAAAAGTTAGATAATGGATGCATCTCAAACCAACCCATATAAAAATAAGAGCTATAAATAAAATAAGAGCTCACCTGCATAAACTCTCCCCTAGGGAATTTCCATTGTTTGATGTTATCAGGAGAAGCCGATGCAAACATATACAATCTGGGATGTAACACCAATGCTCGAACAGATTTCTAAGAGGTTTGAGAATATAAAGCTGACAGCGAGAAAATTTTTCAACTCATAAGCAACAATCATATTCACCTTATGATGCGTAAGAGTACAAAGAGATCGTCCTGCGGCAAGATCCCAGAGACGCACTGTCGAATCATGGGATGAGGTTATTACCTGTAGTTTGCATTCCAGATGTGGACTCACCCGAACGGTGTTAAACATCTTACCTGTGGCTCAGGCGCCTGGGTTACAACATCAGACACAGTATTAGTATGGCCACTTAAGCAGTGCACCTGCGCTTTAGTTCGCATATCCCATACCTACAAAAATCAGTGAAACCTGACTAAAATCTCGAAGAAAATAATTGAAAAGCTAAGATGATATAAATGCTGTGTGAATCCAATTCAATACTTACTCTTGCCGTAGAATCTCTTGCACAAGATATCAGCACGTCTAATGTGGGATGGATAGAGAGAGCTTGTACAGCACTCAGATGTCCGTGATAATGACGAATGACCTTGTTGTATTCAAGATCCCAACATTTAACCTGATAACGTAGGCATGATAGGTAAATAACTCAATAAGTGCTGCAAAAGCAAACAAAATCACATCACGGCTTACTTGTTTATCTTCACCTCCAGAGAATAAGAACGGATGCCTTGGAGAAACTTTCACTGCTCGGACCGAGCTGATATGACCAGTTAAGGACAACCGCAATTTGCCTGAGGCTAAATCCCATATCTGGAAAGAAAAAACCTTGGGAAGCCAATACGAAACCAACAAGATAATCTTGTATTAGTGACCTTTATTATACGATCACCTCCGCCACTCGCAAACCACTGATTCTGGGGCTCGACATCAACTGCACGCACCCATCCCGTATGTCCTGCATGGCGACCGATGAGAATAGTCGGCAAAAGAAAATCGCATGGTACCGTACCTGAGATGACTCTGTACAACTTCCATGGTGCATGCCACTTTGGCTTCACCATCATAGGTGCTCGAAGAGGAAGTAATGACCGGGTCGTATCTTCGCGACTGCTACTTGATCCAACCGGAAGCGTACTCAGAATCTGCCTGTAGGTCGAAAAAAGATTGTTTTTAGTTCAAAACAAATCCAATTAAGACGAACCCTTGCGGAGCAGATGAAGAGGAGGGTGCAGGTTTTCCCGTCCCATCCGTGATAGCTAAGGGGCCATCGGTAGGAGTTATAACTGATCCGATAGCGACGGACGGTTGACTCGCTGGCAGCTTAACAAACCACTTTCAGAAAGCAAGAAGCGTGGAACAGAGATATATTAGAAGGTAAAGACAGCCGTAAAACATGTCAATGTTAGTTCTTTTTGAATTATGACACGCCATAGATGGTATACGAGACTAAGCAATGTTTGAAGTTGAAGAATTCAGCAATAGCATGCCCATTTTCGGATAGCCTTATCAGCTTATGCAAGCATTTCCATAATTACCATACACAATATGACACAAAAATTCGCTTTATATTGGCACCGTCCACCCAAACTGAGGGTGTGAGATTTCGATGCTGTAGTAAAACGGACCCCTAGCTAAGCACCTAGGTCCCATAGTAAAAGATGAGTTTCGAAGCGAGCAAATAGATTAGAACGTACAAACAGCCGTGGCTCCGCCTAGCAACTTGGGTGGTGTGAGAATAATAAGTCCAAAAATGGGCTTAATATACCAAATTGTAAAAATTATTATCCTTTTAGATAATTGTCATGATGACATTTTTGTCTATCCCGAAGTTCACTTTCACACTCATTATCTTCACACTACCCACACCGATGGGCGCAGGGCGCAGTCACCCTAGCCGCTTCTATCTTCTGAAGCGTCTTTTTTCGCTTCGGGTACCATCTGCAGGGGGTTTGGGCAATAATTTGGTTAGCGGTCCCGCTATGACATAACGTAGAAATCAAACCATCCTGATCTTGAGTGAGCAATTTCTTTAGGCAGTATCTAGAAATCGAGGACCTTAATGGTGATGACAAGGAAGAGTGGGGGCCAAACTGATAGATCTTATCTTGAACTCTTTTGGTATAGTATAAGTAACTTAAGGATAGAAAGGTTGACATAAACAGTGCGAACTGCAACATATACGTAGAAAATCACCTTTAACAGCTCCTGTTCTCGCCGTTTTTTGGCCTCCTCGACGTGTCTAATGACGGATCCATACTCGCATCGCTTTTTGATAGATTTCAGTGTATTCAGACTAGAAGATTCACTAAGAAAAATGAACCCCTGCAAAAGACACCTACTCTTTTTCAGATAACTCCGGGAATGTCGTGTAATCACTACTGAACATGTCGTGCGTCCGTTTCATTGAGCGGAACACTAGGTTGAGCAATGTCTTCTGCATCTGATCAGGTTGTTGTATTCCTGAATTTAGTCATGAGCGAGAACATCTCAAACGGAGACGGTCATACCTCCTTCGCCGTCATCGGCATGCTTGTCATGCCCGTTGCTTTCCTCGGCTGCATTTGGAGGTGCTTGAACTTCTGCTGACATAGTGGCTGAAAGTTCCAAATAAAAACGTATTGAGATTGATGTTGAACAAAATACGAACACAGATATGAGCGCATTTTAAATGTTCGAAAATATCTAAAGGGCTTACGCAATTACGTACGAAGTCTGAAACAGACGTGCAATCTCCAAACTACGAAAATTGGAAACTGCTCAAACGCCTTTTCTTTTTCGGAGCTGGTTTTGTAAATAGTCTCCTGCCTTTACGTGTTTTCTTATTGCATTTTTAGTAGAAGAGTGTGGTCAAAACGCATAGTGGAGGTGCGGCTGCTTCATCAATGTCTTTCAGATGACTGCGTTGTCGAAGGCTGAATATCTTCAGCGTTACCTGTCTGGAAACGAAGACAAGAAAACAAAAAAGAAGAAGAAAATCAAAGAAAAGTCTCAGCAGCGTCCAAGCGGGTATGATATTTCATATTTCTTAAGTTGACGGCTTCTTTTGCTTTTTGTGGGGGAAATATGAGGCTTTTTTTGCACTGCTAAGATCTTAGTTTTTATTCGTCATAGTTGCGTATTCCGAATTGACTGGTTTGGTAAGTAGGACATAGTATATAACTTTAATCGACTTTTTCAATGCGTTAGAGGCAGAGCATAGCAAACTTGATGCCATTGAGAAACTTGATCACATTACATAGTTTCTTTTCTAATCCGCTATAAAAAACGCCACGCTTTTAGTCCAACTCTCTGCCTATAGACTGGAAGTCGGTGATATTTTCATGCACCTTTATGCATTTTGACTATTTTTAACGTCAACATGTCAGCTAATCTAGGCTACTAAGCGTGTCGGCGAAAATCGTATGGGATACTATTAGGTTGATGCACAATTCTTGCACCAAAAAATACAAAAAAATTATTTTAAAAATGCTTAAACAAACTAGTCAACTTACATGTTCTGCTCTATGTTATGCACATCAAAAGTAGTATTTTATAGTACATTTTAGAAGATCAATTTGAAACAAATCGATTAGTCATTTCAAAAAAATCGGAATTCGTAAATATTCGCAGAGACATCCAATCACTACCAACTTCTCTTAGTTAAAAAGAGCATGCCATAAAACTTAGACCAAAAATAAATCTAAATTCTAGTAGACTTTAGCAATTTTAGTGACTAAAAATCGAAAAATCACTTTTTGGGTATTCCTCTTATTCACCTTGTATCGTTGCCATATGCCTTCAAGGACTTTTGGCTCGAGCACCGTCAGAAAGCGCAAGATTTGCTCTCACTATATATATCGAACCAGAAGATTTCATCGCAGCTGGATGAAGTAACAGAATTTAAAAAATGTTGGTGCAAGAATTATGCATCAACCTAATAGGTTGAGTTACCCACGTCATATCTAGGTTCACATCAAGCATGGGTGCACCACAAAACATCATGGTCAAAAAATTGGCATTGCAGTCTTTGTTGTGGATGCACCAAATCCATCTCAGACTTGTATCCGGGGTCGACGATAAAACTTTTTCTCATTAGTCCCAATCGCGCCTTTAATACCGCGCTATCTCATAAGTGTATCATGCACTTGTGATCAAAAGGTTAGGAGGATTGTTCTCAAATACATCAGAGTTCTTCAGATTGCGCATCGTAGAAGATGACGCATTCATTTCTGTTTCTGCGAATTACAAAGACGTTGATACCGATGAGGAGAAAGAAGATATTGAAATAATCTCCAGCATCTCTAGACAGGTATATTTGGAAAGAGCTTGTGGTTATAGCTCTATATTTTTGCTTATCGGTTTTCCAGTTAGAGGCGAAGGCTCGTGAAGGTCCGAAGTTTCTGAAGTCCTTCAAACCTTTAGATGGTGGAGATATCAAAGTTGAGGTGAAAACCGGTGAGTTTGTATTCTGTTTTCTTTTTGGTTGTTTTCGACACCATCAGTCACTTCTACATTTCCAAACTTTCATCTGACATTCATTCTTTCTTAGTTCTGTTCTCTTCGCATTTGTAAAATTCTTTTCTTTGCAACACCTGGTGCACGTCGCGTTTTTTCTCTAATTGAGAACATTCCAGAAGTGCTTTCGGATGATGACGGTCCTTCTACTTCTCAGGGTAGGCCTACTTTTTTCTCGAATATTGCTAGTCCAGTTGGATAAGCGTTATAAAAGATGATATTTAAGCCAATCAAAAGAACGAAAGCTCGGGTAGCCGCTCCCTAGACGATAGAAGGAGTGCAAGTGAGTCAGAAGCATTATCCGCGTTATAGTTATGAATATTTTTGTGTACTTCTCTGCTTCAAAGTAGTTTTTGTAAGCGGTGTGGATGAATCAAGGCTTTTTTGATTATCGTATTATCTCCAACTGAGCTCCATTCCGCTAGTACTTTTTTTTTGCTTTCTTCTTTCTCTATCATCCCATTGATATGCCTTTCACTGCTGATCATGAGTGTAGGTCGCGATCGTTGTATGAGTTCCTGCTGCTCTCACGCTGTGAATTTTGTCTGATGTTTTGCAGATGCGCAGTCACAAGAGTCGAGGCGACGCCACGCCTCTGACGAGGATCAATCACCGGTGAGAAGGCGGCGTGATTCTGATCATTCCCCAGTTAGGAAACGTCACGACTCACCCGCAAGAAAGCATCATGACTCTGACCACTCGGCAATCAGGAGAAAACGTCACGATTCTGATCAATCCCCCGCAAGAAGGAAACGTCACGACTCTGACCACTCGCCAATCAGGAGAAAACGTCACGATTCTGACCAATCTCCTGCAAGAAGGAAACGCCACGACTCCGATCAGTCTCCTGTAAGAAGACGTCATGACTCTGGTCTGGTTTTAGTCCTCCATCTTTTTGCTCACCTTTACAATACTAAGATGAGTAGGCGCGCGCAGGTCAACGGCTTGTATGCCTTTTTTTAACGGAAAGGGTGTATGTCAAGAGGCGCGTTTTTTATCGGCAGCTGACACCAATTAGCGCATAATAAGTTTCTGCAACTTTCTAAAAGTATATGAAATTTGAAAGAAGATATATTAGATAGCTGCATGAGCTGTTCAATTTTGAAACTTTGAAAAAAATCAAAAGAGCAATTTTGAAAGTCAAAAACTCATGAAAATACATTTCAGAACAAATTCGTAAATATTTAATTCCGATTTACGGCAAAAACCATGAAACTCAGCAACTGGTGACCTCAGGCAGACAGTAAGCTAATGCGCTTTATCTGGTAATTTTTGAAGACTCGCATAGCACTAAATTGGAGTCTTGAGTTGGTGACAACCGGAGAAATCGCGCCTCTTGACCGTCTCCCCCATCAGTGGCACAGCCAAGAATTGCATAGCTTCCACGTTTTCTTCTTCTCACCGATAATCCAAGTAGATCTGCGAGTGCTGATATATTGAAGAGAAAGGTTCAGTCTTCAGGTAGCGATGAGGTTTTTTTTTTTGAGGTCAAACCCCTTTCCACTCTTCCGAAATTTGAAGACGGAAATTTCGATTTTCGTTCGCATTGTATGGATTGCAGCGGCTGCGGCTTTATTCTCAAAGTCATGTTGAAGCCGTTTCTTTCCGATATGAAGCTTTTCTTTTGTCCGTACGGCGGCATTTCAGACAGGCACTGCTAACAGATTTATTGGTAGTGTATATGCGCATACTTTTTTCGTAACCTTTTGGGAGATGCTTTCCTGTAGGCTAATCCGTCTATTTTTCCTATCTCAAGGTTTCTCGCACTTTTCTCTTGTGATTTATCTCATGTTGGGTGCCAATTTTGGGAGTATCCACTGTTAGCTATCACTATTTCATACAAATCATTTGTATAGACATTAAATGCATGCATCAAAAAATCAAATCTAGACGATTCCGATCTATCACGTGCGAGAAAACGACACGATTCTAGATCTCCTGTGAGAAAGCGGAGGGACAGCGACCGATCTCCTTCGCGAAATCGTCTGTTATTTTAGGTTTTTCTCCCATACAAATCAAGTATATGTTTTCAGGTCACAAGGGCAAAGAGTCATCGTCGACGAGATCCAGTAAGTTGCATGTTGAAGTATTTGATTACATTTGTTTCACAGCTCTGTATTTGTTGTTCAAAACGCTGGTTTCATATCAGTACTGTTACAGAACGAAGACACGACTCGGATTCTGATGATTCTACATCTCCGAAAAGTACGTAGCTACTTTGATAACCACATTCAAATAATTTGCAAAAGCACGTTTAGGGAACTCTAGGAGGATAGCATCCCCGCCTAGAAAGCAACTACACAAGTCGAGAAACGATTCTGGTTCAGACCAGTCGCCGCCTCGAAACCACGGTGAACTTTTATTTTTGAAAAATACCCACTGCAATGTGGAGCTGGAGAAAAAAATGGTCAAAGACTGCGGCTCCGGCGAGCTCTACACACATTTTAAGCAGTCAAATAGACTTTGACATGGTTTTGATCTCGTAGATCAAAACACAACAAATGTAATGCTGTTCCATTTCCCTAATTTCACGAGTACAAGACGCAGCTTTTTCGTTTTTTTTCAAGCGAATCGCTCAGCCGCCCCGTTGTGTTTCGGATAACGAAACTCATGTCGTACGATACTATTGGCAATACGCAGCTCTGTTTAGGGTCGTTTGGTCGCGATTTTAGTGTTTCCAAGCTGGAAGAATCAAAAATAATACAGGCGCGTCCACTACTCGTGAAATTTTATTACTTCTGTCGCAATCAAACCCTTTTTTTTCGTGCAAAATGTGCTTGTTGCCGGATTCGATCAGAGTTTGTCCGCATATCTTTTGTAGTACTTCTAGAGAACATTTCAGGGAAAAACAGTCAAAAATCAATCAAAGTTGAAGTTGATTCGGATCAATCACCCGAAAGAAGAGGTAAGTCTGAAGGTTTTGCCAGTTTTTTCGTTTGAGAATAATTATGGGGTCTAATTGTACAAGACTATTTGAAAAAGTGCACTGTTTTTGTACGTGCTTTTGATCCGTAGTTCTAGGCGACAGACGAAGAAGTCCTTCTTCGGACCTGTCTCCGCCTAGGAAGTATCAGAAAAGCTCGTCACCCGTCGCCACCAGGAGACGTGATAGCGGTAATCTACAAATAGTTTAGTTTGATTTTGAGATGTAGTTGAATTCTAGATGAGTCACCTCCACGAAGACGAGAACAACCTAGAGGACGCGAAAGACGGATTGCATCTCCTGAGAAATTGGGCAAAGAGTCACAAAAGACCCTCGATGGAAAGGTAACCGTGTACTAATAATCGTACTGGGTCATAGGTTCCTTACTCATAGTTGTTCAGATTGCTGGGCTTCAGTCAGCGGATGCTCTCAAAAAAGAATCCGAGAAAATTCGAGAACAGGAGAGTAAGGTAAGTAGTTGGTTAGAAAGTTGCCAGTTTGATTTCACTACAGCTCTTGTGCTAATTGTCAACCTTTTAAAGATGTTCGAAGAGATGGATGCTTCCATCAGCGGCCGATTCGCAGAGACTACTGTGCGAGAAAAACAAGTGCGAAAAAGTAAGTGTCTGGTTATTCTTTTCGAGTTGATTCTTGGTAAATAAAAATGACTTAGAGCGTGAAAAACCAGAAGATAAGGAGAGAAAAGAGCGCGAGGCGAAAAAGCAAGCTGAACTACAAGAAAAATATGACTTGTGGAACAAGGGAGTAGCTCAGAAAGAAAGGGTACGTGTTTACGGTTTCAAATGGTGAGACAACATTTCCTTTTCTTTTAGCGTGAAGAACAGCTTGAAGAAATGGCTCGCGTCGCTGCTGAACCGCTGGCTCGTATGGCTGACGACGTCGCTATGAATCGTCATCTCAAAGATCTGATTCATGAAGAGGATCCTATGGCCAAAATGCTGATAAGCAAGAAGCGTGAGAAGGCCATTGATCGAGGAGATTTGAGTAGGTTTTGAAGCATATAGACTAAGTGCAGGTAGAGTAAAGTTGAAGTCGCTTAATGCTCCATATATTGAATTCGCGTGAATCGATAGCCTTTTTCTAATGCGAATTTGCAATTTATCCAGAAAAATGAGAGCTCGTCCTTCATATGTACTCGTACTAAGTTTTGTTTCTCTTTACACAAATAAGCTATGCATTTTTACGAAAGGAATTTAGGTCTTAGAAAAAGGTGTCTTTATTTTTGTGTGAGATGTGCCCGTGCATCCAAATTTATCAACACACGAATAACGTGCTAAAAGAGTTTGAAGTTTTTTTTCGGCCACAGTAAGTCTTCATAGCTTGAATTGTTTTCTTTCATTTTATATATCCTCAACATGTATACACACAAAAAAGCAGCATTATCATTGCACAGCACCGTATTTGTTTGGCTTATGTTATGGTATTTCAACCATCTAACGAAATACCTGTCACGGCGCGAAAAGGGCGAGTAATTTTTCTGATCTAGTTGTATACAGAATTGCTTGTAAGCAGAGAGTACGAATGATGCGGTTGCAAACCAACATTTGAAAGACGAATATGTTTGAATACGATAAGGATAGGCTTACAATTATTTCTATTTCACGTAATTTCCTAATCAGCGGGATAATGTAGACGTAATGTAATCGAAAGCTTATGCTTGGGTTTCTAAGCTAACCGGGCATTGTTTCGCTGCGTATTGCATAAATGATTTTTACCTTTTGGCTGTCATTTCATCTGCGACGTGATATCAAGTACGAACGATAATGAGGACAAAGTGAAATTCTAACATCCATCACTTATCAACTTGACCGCTAGAGATAAGAGCTTGTTTCATGTAGAGAATTATAAAAATTTGCCTTAGCAGTCATGTACAAATACATGCGTTGGCATCAAACTCGTACAAAGGGGCTGTGCATACATTACGCAGTTTTGTCGCCTCACGATTCTCCTAAAAGGATAATTGTTACGAATCCATTGCATGCCGATTATCCTGCATTTCGGCTGTGATTCCGACTCGAGTAACTGAAATGCAGGATGGTTGGCATGCAATGGACTCGTGACACTTGTTTTGTCGGGAGAATTGCGATGGAATGGCGTGATGTGTCCCTGCCCTAAAACGAAGCGAAGGTGCACATTCTTGACCTATACGACCAAATTTTGATGTTTGCAGTATATCCGACATACCAAGGCGAAGCTCCACCAAATCGCTTTGGCATCCGGCCGGGTTACCGATGGGATGGTGTTGACCGCTCAAATGGTTTCGAAGCTGCTCTTGCTCAAACCAAAAATCGCAGGAATGCACAGGAGAAAGAGTACTATCGAAACTTGCAGCTGTATGAGTAGATACCATTAGCTCCCTGTTATTGTTAAATGTTGTTTGTATTATACTTACCTCATTTTCGCAGTCATGTTTCAACTTTTCGGTTATATATTATGCCAATAAACTTCTAAAAGTGTACACTGTTATTGTCGAACTTGGGTGTAGTCTTGGGCGCAGGTCGAAACGTGGATTGGATGTGATGACGGAGAAATTTCCGTATATGACCATCGAGGATAAGCAGTAACGGTTGCTAAGAGTTCACAGTTATAAGAATCTGGAACGGAACATTCTGTAGTTGGTTCGTGGTGCTTGTTTTATTACTTGCAGATATGTTTTTTCGGAGATTGCCTCTTAAGCCTTAGCGAACAATAGTTGTTTAGATAAGAACAAGGCATGATTATATCGGAGAAGCTTCCGATGGAGCATGCTGTCTCAGCGTTGCTTTTATCAGAAACTGATATAGGGAGTCTATCTCGTTCGCAATTCGGTCACAGATCAAAGGTAGCACCATGTTCTATGCTGACAACTATCACAAACCTGCTGGATACAGCGTAAAAATTCTCATTTTCGTAAACTTGTCCTGGGGGTATATCGAAGGTCTTCTGGATATGCATCGTGTATCAAAGAGATAGTGTGTGTAGATAAGAAAAGGTATGACCAAAGTCGTGATGGTTATGTCAAAGAAAATTTACAGCAACCATAGGATAGTAAATCCATGCATTTTCACTGTTTCCAATGTCTCTTCATCTTTTCATTTGATGTGGTACAATAATAGATTCTTAACTAAATAGTTGTCTAGTCAAATTTGTTTTTGTTTGCCAAGTCGCGCGGCAAAAGGTGCAAACACAAAGAAACAAATTTATCATCTTTAAACCACCGCGTTGATGGGTCGGGGCTGGACGAGTCTGCGGACATTCTGGAGCGATTTTTTCGTTAAAAATATAGACTTTGGCATGGAACTTGGGTATTTACTTGGTTGAAGCCCCTCCAATGTGACACATTGCAATTCCACCACTATCAAATTCAGGGCTCGGCACGAGGTGGCTAGTTGAAAATACAAAAAACGAAGTCCCCTTTGACTTTTGCAAATTTTTACGAAGTCCCCTTTGACCCTAGACCATAATTTTAAAAAAACCTCTTAAAAAACGAAGCGTCACTAAAGAAAGAAAGAAAACGCCGCCAATTTTTGTGCTAGTAACTAACAACTGCCGTCAAAGTAGCTCATAAATAGGCAACTACTGCCAAATTGGTTTGTAATACGCCATGAGAAATGTGTATTAAGGTTCATGATTCATGTCGAATTACGATTTTGGAACTTGCCATTCATCTATAATACATATAAATGAACTCAGTGACTCACACTCCATTGCTTAATAGGGAAAGATACTTGATGACCCCAGCTATTCATAAGGTTTGTACATCATAAAATGCTCATTTTAATGCTGTCCCTCTTCAAATGCCGAATATGATTTAAGGCATAAATACAACGTACATCTTTGATTCTCCTCAACAGCTTCAAACAAACGGTAAAAAAGATCTAATTGAGTGATTTTAACTACCTCAAAGTACGCAAATTTTTTTACGAAAAAAGTTCCTAATTTCTTTCATATGATGGTTTCGCAGATTTTGAGCACAGACTTAGAATCAGCGTTTCGAGATGCACTTTATGGTATACATCGCATACCAAATTGCCGGGGTCACCAAGTATCCTTTCCTTGTTAGGCCTGTCAGAAGTTATGAGGACGGAATATAGCGGTGGAGGATCCTTCATCCATACATCTGATAGATCGACGATGTAATTTTTTGCAATTCAACCGGCACCTTTGGACAGTGTTTTATGTATGGTAGTGGACCACCCGTGAGTCATAAACGCCAGTTCTCCACTTCGAAACTGATAATTTACCATGGTGCACCTCTTTCTCTTGTGTAGCACTTTTTGAAGGGAACATAGAATAGAAGCTCCTACAGAAGGTTTTCTTATCTTTTCTCAACCTTACCGTACCTGCCTCAGAACGTTTTAGGGGGCTTGTAAAAAAAGCATAGAGCTGCAGATATTTAGCGCATTGACGAATCTGGCAGTATATAAGGAGATAGGAGGGATGAGTCTTTGCTTAACTCCGTCACAATGGTTAGTAAATATTGAGCATAGTTTTACCCATTGAAATGTTCTTTGTTGCAGAGGTCCCTCCTCCTGACTGTGTTTGGCCTAGCAACCGTCGGCGCATTCTCCGTCCAGAAGCATGATGTGCTCGGTAAAAGTATAAATTTTCTTTGAGATATAGATTATAATTAAGAAATACCTTCTTTAGATAAGCTTCGAAATCGCGTAATTACGAAAGAGGCCGAGAGTTTGACTGGTCAAGAACTGGCTGATTTCGTCAACAAAAATCAGAACTTCTTCAAGGTAAGCAAAGTTTAAAGTAGATTTGTAAGAAATGCTTCTACAAACTACTTTTAGGCATCTCCATCGAAGTTCAGTCAGGAAAAGATGAAGGCGAAACTCATGGATGTCAAGTACCTGGTAGAGCCTGAGCACCAAGAAGAGCTTAACATTGATGCTGACATTCCCGTGAGGTAAATGGCTAAACAAAAAATTTTCTTCACGCAGTTTTTCCCGTGGTGTCTGCTCTCAAATGCTCTGAATGTTATATAACTTCAGCTTTGATGCGAGAGTGCAGTGGCCCGCTTGCGCCTCTATTTCTACGATTCGAGATCAGTCAGACTGCGGTGATTTTTACATCTTGAAGTATCCGTAAAACACTCATCCTTACTTTACGACGTGCTACCTTGTATGTTCTAGGATCTTGCTGGGCATTTGGTGCAGCTGAAGCTATGTCTGATCGCATTTGTATCGCTAGCCAAGGAAAAACAAAGGTACTTGTTCAAATTCAGACTTATAAATATTGGAAATTAGACTGTCCTGCAACCGCTTTCTCGATTAGATCAAACTGCTCTTTATTCCTAGCATTTATGGCACTGTCTGTTAAAGCAAAGCAAGCTCTACAAAATGACTACCGGCCAAGTCGTAAATCAGATTTCGCCATCAAAAGATCTTATCATCTGGAAGTCGAATTCTCGCAGAGAAAAAATCTGCCAAACTTCAAACTGGTCGTCATACAGTAGATACATAGTAGTATTCTCACATGGCTGAATGTTTTTCGTGGGATGGGGAAAATAAGATGGTTTAATAATGACAGACCTTACCCCCAGCTCCTCCCACATTGATTGTATACTGCAAGCCTTAGTAAGCATAGCCCTGAAATTCTATCTCTGTATGTATACTACCGAAAAATACCAAGTCAACATGAAGAAAGCAAAAGTAACTTTCCTGCATTCTCGAGCTATTTTGTATCTTAATTTTGGGCCGCGGAAAAAAATTCAGCAGAAGCAATAATGCTATTACGAGTTTACTGTATGTTCACCAAGTTGAGGATTCGTAGGGAGATTTTCTTCAAGGTGATCCAATTTTCAGAGTAGTTGAGAAATTTTGGTTTGTAGCTCCAGACTTTACCTGGATTACGTAGGTGGATCTTTGGTGCAATTTGTAGAGCTTTTCTTGCTCTGCCAAATAGTTTCCGAAGTCTGTTGAAAACCATTCATTTGGAAAGAGGTTTACTTCAGGGGAATCTATGTATAATTAGCCAAAGAAAACCTGCAATGCAAGCTTTTAGGTAGCTGTCTCAGCTGATGATGTTCTGTCTTGTTGCGGAGGGACATGTGGATATGGGTAAGTTTGGTCGCACTTGCTCTTGGTAATTCTTAGGAAGTCTGATTTAGTTGCCAGGGCGGATATCCGATCGAAGCATGGAGATACTGGGTCAAATACGGTATTTGTACCGGAGGATCGTACGAAACTCAAGTAAGTTTGTTTAACTCATCCCAGATTTTTGATCTAGTATGTCTGAACAGACTTACCAGTCACAGTGTTTTTCTAGTCTGGATGCAAACCATATCCTATTCCACCTTGCGGCTACCATGCAAATCAGAAATACTATGGCCCATGCCCGGATTATGAATATGGCACTCCAGTTTGCACTACCTCGTGCATCGCAGGATATTCTGTCTCATACGCTGACGACAAATACTACGGTAATCAATTTTATACAAAATCAAGAACCTGTGGTTGAACAAATCTTGTAGGAAAATCTGCATACGGTGTTCCTACGACAGTAGCTGGAATCCAGAAGGAGATCATGACTAACGGACCAGTGGAAGCTGCGTTTACAGTTTATGAAGACTTCTATCAGTACATAAGTGGAGTCTACGTGGTGAGGGAAGACAAAATTCCAGACAGCTAACTCAACTTTGTTGACCCAAAAAGCGTTATAAAACAAACCAAGAACTGAAATGCTTTTAGCACACCGGCGGGAACAAAATTGGTGGACATGCTGTCCGAATCCTTGGATGGGGTGTGGACAATGGTACACCTTACTGGCTTGTTGCTAACTCGTGGAACACCGACTGGGGAGAGAACGGTAGTCAAATCATAATGAATTTTGCCCCGTTATCTGCATGCTTTTCAGGGTACTTCCGAATCATTCGTGGACTTAATGAATGCGGCATTGAGCAAGCTATTGTTGCTGGTCTACCGAAGTAAAATGAAGAATCTTGTTCTACGCAACATCTATTGCGTGTAGTTTCGTGAAAGTGCGGCAACATTGTTCATCGAATTTCACATTTATGTATTTTATGTACATAAACACATTGGAAAGGCACGTGTTGTTCCATGTACTTTTTTCCAGAAACAATCGGAAAGGATGCAAATAATATTTGAAGAGTGAGAAACATTTAGAATGTTAGTAGGACAAAAAGATCAACAAAGTATGACCTCATGGGCAAAATATCATCGCAGAACGGTCAAGTTTCAAAAGTGTTATTCATCAAATCGGGTCATGCTAAAAACTATTATGCAACCCTACCCCATTTTTGACGGCTAGGCAATCTGAACTTGGAAGAAGGAACCTTGCGAGGAGATGAAATTACGTGATGTGTCCGGCCCTAAAGCGAAGCGAAGGTGCACATCCTTACCTATTCAACGGAATTTTGATGTTTGCAGTATATCCGACATACCAAGGCGAAGCTCCACCAAATCGCTTTGGCATCCGGGCGAGTTACCGATGGGATGGTGTTGACCGCTCGAACGGTTTCGAAGCTGCTCTTGCTCAAACCAAAAATCGCAGGAATGCACAGGAGAAAGAGTACTATCAGAACTTGCAGCTGTATGGGTAGATACATAAGCTCCCCCCCCCCTTCCCCCATTATCAAATTTTGTATTATAGTACTTACCTCATTTTCTAGCAGTTATGTTTTAACTTTTCGGTTACCCTAAAATCCGTACAATAAGTCCGCCTATCAGATAAGTCCGCCCTATCAGATAAGTCCGCAGAAGAACTAACAGTTAAGTCCGCTTTCTTGACAACGAAAGTCGCCCTCGCGCCGCCAAAAGTCCTGCAGATAAGTCCGCTTCTCATGCTCAGGATAGGCGAACTTATCTGCTGCGGGCTTATCTGATAGTGGATTTAGGAGGACTTATCTGGTAGACTTTTGGCGGCGCAGAGGGCGTTTTTTCATCGATTTTTCGCGTCGAAACTGCAGATAAGTGTCCGGACTTATTGTACGGATTTTGGGGTGTATATTAGGTTGATGCAAAAGTTCTTTGCACCAAATTCAAAAATTCATAACTTGTTGAACTCTCAACGAATCTGAAAGAACTAAGTTTGCATAAGAGAGGAACTCATGCTCTTTGCAACTGTACCTGATCTGTTCGTCAATGTGTACAAATGAAGGAGATAGAAGCTAAACCAAAATCACTCAAAATTTAAATTTTTCGTGTAGGGTCATAAATAATCGGAAACATACAGCAAAAATCGGAGCAGTCGGTATTGTAGGTTCTCTCACCAGCTTTTTCTGATTGTGCAAAGTTTGCGCCGATTGAGCGTCTCTATGAAAAGTTACGATTTTCCTGGAAAATGCCAAAATAAATCAAATTTGCGCTTTTGTATTGCTTGCTCGGAAATCATAACTTTTCACAGAGACGCTCAATCGGCGCAAACTATGCACTGTTAGAAGGAAATTGTAAAAGAACCTACAAAACCACTGCTCCGATTTTTGTTGCAAGTTTCCGATTTTTTATGACCCTACATGAAAAATTTAAATTTTGAGTGATTTTGGTTTTGAGCTCCTATCTCCTTCATTTGTACATATTAACGAACACAAGTACATTTGCAAAAAGCATGAGATCCTCTCTTATGCAAAATTTAGATCTTGCAGATTCGTTGAGAATTCAAGTTATGAATTATTTGATTTGGTGCGAAAGAATTTTTGCACCAACCTAATATTATGCCAATAAACTTCTCAATGTACACTGTTATTGTCGAACTTGGGTGTAGTCCTGGGCGTCAAGTCGAAACGTGGATTGGATGTGGTGAAGGAGAAATTTTCGTATGTGACCATCGATGATAAGCAGTAACGGTTGCTAAGACTTCACAATTATAAGCATCTGGAACGGAACGTTCTGTAGTTGGTTCGTGGTGCTTGTTTTATTACTTGCAGATATGTTTTTTCGGAGATTGCCCCTTCCTCAAGCCATAGCAAACAATGGACCTAGATAGGAACAAGGCATGCTTGTATCGGAAGAGCTTCTGATATGAGCGTGCTATCTTAGTGCTGCCATTATCAAATATAGGGGAGTCTACTCCTTCGGAATTTGGTCACAGATCAAAGGTAGCACCATGTTCTATGCTGACAGCTATCATAAATTTGCTGGATGCAGCATAATTGCTCATTTTCACGAAGTTGACCTGAAGATAGTCGAAGGTCTTATGGATATGCATCGTATGTATTAGAGAGATAGTGTGTATGTAGGTAAGTAACGGGATAAGCAACTTTTGACGGTTACGTCAAAGAAAATTTTACAGCAGTCACAGGAAACTAACCACATCTGATCCCACGCAAAAAGGGTGCATTTCTAATGCGGTGCAATAGTAGATCCTTAGTTGTCTAGTTGAATTTGTTTTTTGTTCGCCAAGTCCCGCTGCAAGTGCAAACACAAAGAAACAAATTTAACATCTCTAGAACCATCGCGTTGATGGGTGGGACGGACAGGTCGTCAGGAGATTCTGGTTCGACACTTCAGATTCTGGAGCGATTTCCTCGCTTCAGAATCTGAAGCGTGGCTTGGGACCTGGGCACTTACTCAGTGAAGCCCCTTCAATGTGACAGTTGAAATTTCACCCCTGTCAAAATTGGTGGACAGTGCCTGCAAGCGCAAACTTTCCATTGCATGACTCTCACTTATTAGCTTCAAATTAAAACCCGAAACCAAAAAAAATTGCTCCAGAAAATTCTCAAGAATCAGGAATTTTGAGAGGAGCTTTAGATAAATCCTTGATTTATCCAGATAAACGCCGAACCTTTTTTTTTCGGTGACTATAAAGGTTTAGGGGTTAAATATGGATATAGGGGTTAAAATATGCACATACTGCTATCTAACTTACAACTGCTGGCAAAGTAGCTCATAACTATTAAAACTACAGCCAAAGGGGTCCATAATACATCTTAGGAACAGAATGTATATTAAGGTTCATGATCAACATGACGAAATTGGAATTTTGGTACTGCCCATCTACATATAAACTCCTGTCAGTAACTTATACTCCATTATTTAGCAGTCAAAAGGTAGATAGAGGGTGGAATATAGGGGTGGAGGATCCCTTAACTCTGCATCTGATAGATCGATGATTTATTTCCTATCAACAATTCGACCGGCACCAATGTTTTGGGAATGTTTTATGTATGGGATTGTGATTAATGGACCACTCGTGAGCGCAAACGTTAGCTATCCACTTCAAGGGTGATAATATCATGGTGCACCTCTTTCTCTTATGTACCACTTTCTGGAGGGAACATAGAACAGCTCTAACAGATGGTTATGCTTCTTATCTTTTCCCAACCTTATCGTACATGCCTCAGAACGTTTTATGGGGCTTGTTAAAAAAAAGCGTAGAGCTGCAGATATTTAGCGCATTAACGGCAGTATATAAGGAAATAGGTAGAATGAGTCTTTGCTTAACTCCGTCACAATGGTTAGTAAATAATGAGCATAGTTTTACCCTTTAAATGTCCTTTGTTGCAGAGGCCCCTCTTTCTGACTGTGTTTGGCCTAGCAACCGTCGGCGCATTCTCCGTCCAGAAGCATGATGCTCTCGGTAAACTAACAATAAAATTTCTTCGTGATTTCGATTGTAATTAACAGATACCTTCCTTAGATAAGCTTCGAAATCGCGTAATTACGAAAGAAGCAGAGAGTTTGACTGGTCAAGAGCTGGCCGATTTCGTCAACAAAAATCAGAACTTCTTCAAGGTGAGCAAAGTTTAAAGTAGATTTGTAAGAAATGCTTCTTTAAACTACTTTTAGGCATCTCCATCGAAGTTCAATCAGGAAAAGATGAAGGCGAAACTCATGGATGTCAAGTACCTGGTAGAGCCTGAGCACCAAGAAGAGCTTAACATTGATGCTAACATTCCCGACAGGTAGATGGCTAAATCTCAAAAAAAAATCTTGCTTCTTTACGCAATTTTTTTCCTGGTGTGCTCTCAAATGCTTTGATCTGAAAGATATATAATTTCAGCTTTGATGCGAGAGTGCAGTGGCCAACTTGCGAGTCCATCTCTATGATTCGAGATCAGTCAGACTGCGGTGATTTTTACATCTTAAAGTATCCGTAAAACACTCATCCTTACTTTACGACGTGCTACCTTGTATGTTCTAGGATCTTGCTGGGCATTTGGGGCAGCTGAAGCTATGTCTGATCGCATTTGTATCGCTAGCCAAGGAAAAACACAGGTACTTGCTCAAATTCAAACTTATAAATATTCAAAATTAGACTTTCCCAAATGCAACCCCTTTCTCGAATAACAAATCTGCTCTCTATTCCTAGCACTCATGACACTATCTGATGAAGCAAAGCAAGTTCTACAAAATGACTACCGGCCAAGTCGTGCATGAAATTTCGCCAAAATTGAAAGATCTTATCTGAAAGTCGGGTTTTCGCCGAGAAAAAATCTGCAGAACTTTAAAATGGTCGACATACAGTAGATACATAGCACTATTTTCACATGGCTAATGTTTTTTCGTGCATGTAATGGAGAAAAACGATGGTCTAAAAACGGCAGACTCCGTCCCAGCTCTTCCCACATATTTGATTGTGACTGCAAGCCTTAGTAAATAGAACCATAATATTATACCTCTGTATGTATCCTACCGAAAAATACCAAATTCCACATAAAGAAAGTAAAAGTGGCTACCCTGCATTTTCGAGCTATTTTATGTCTTAAGTTTGGGCCGCGGAAGAACTTCTGCAGAAGCAATTATACTATTACGACTCTATTGTAGGTTGGCCAAGTTGGAGATTCGTGGGGGTTCCCTTGAAGGTAGTCCCTTTATGGTAGTTATAAAACTTCAGTTTCTAGCTCCATAATTTAATTTATTCTCCATAATTTAGGATTACGACATAGGCGAATCTATGGTGCAATTTGTAGAGCTTTCTTTGCTCTATCAAACAGTGTCCGAAGTGTATTAAAAAAAGGGCCTTTAGGAAAGGGGTTTACTTCAAGGCACCCTAATAATAATTAGCAGGAGAACCTGAACCGCAATTGTTTAGGTAGCTGTCTCAGCTGATGATGTTCTGTCTTGTTGCGGAAAGACATGTGGAGATGGGTAAGTTTGAAACATTTGCTCTTGATAATTCTTAGGTAACCTGATTTAGTTGCGAGGGCGGATATCCGATTGAAGCGTGGAGATACTGGGTCAAACACGGTATCTGTACCGGAGGATCGTACGAATCTCAAGTAAGTTTGTTTGACTCACCTAGATTTTTGATCTGCTATGTCTGAACAGATTTACCAGTCACTGTGCCTTTCCAGTCTGGATGCAAACCATATCCTATTCCACCTTGCGGCCACCATGCAAATCAGACGTACTTTGGCCCATGCCCAGACAACGAGTATGATACTCCAGTTTGCACCACCTCGTGCATCGCAGGATATCCTGTCTCATACGCTAATGACAAATACTACGGTAATCAATTCTTCTACAAAAGCAAGAGCCTTTGTCTGAACAAATCTTTGTAGGAAAATCTGCATACGGTGTACCAAAGACCGTAGCTGGAATTCAGAAGGAGATCATGACTAACGGACCAGTAGAAGCTGCGTATACAGTTTATGAAGACTTCTATCAGTACAAAAGTGGAGTCTACGTGGTGAGGAAAGACAAAATCCCAGACAGCTAACTCAACTTTGTTGAGCCAAAACGCTTTGTAAAACAAAACAAAAACTGGAATGCTTTTAGCACACGGGCGGAAAAGAACTTGGTGGACATGCTGTCCGAATCCTTGGATGGGGTGTGGACAATGGTACACCTTACTGGCTTGTTGCTAACTCATGGAACACCGACTGGGGAGAGAACGGTAGTCAAATCATAATGAATTTGTGCCCTGTTATCTCATGTTGTTTTCAGGGTACTTCCGAATTGTTCGTGGACTCAATGAATGCGGCATTGAGCATGCTATTGTTGCTGGTCTACCGAAGTGAAATAAAATGAAGAATTGTTCTACAAAACATCTAGCATTGTATGTAGTTCCGGCAACATTGTTCAACGAATCTCACATTTATGTATTTTATGTACATAAACACATTAGAAAGGCACATGTTGTTCCATGTAGATACTTTTTTCCTGAAACAATCGGAAAGGATACAAATAATACCTGAAGAGTGAGAAGCATTTAGAATGTTAGTAGGACAGAATGATTAACAAAGTGACCTATGAGCAAAATATCATCACAGAACGGTCAAGTTTCCTGCAAGGAAGTTATTCATCAATCTGGGTCGTGCTAAGAATTATTATGCGACTATTAATATTTTGACGGCTGAGCACTCATATCTAAACTTGAAAGAATCTAAACCAGAAAATAAAAGCTTCATGCGAAGATTTTCCCAGGATTCAGGATGTTATTCGGATCAAGCGCTTTTTTGATCATTTTCATGGTTTGTAGTCCAGCAGCTCCAAATTCCTCTTCGAGGTAGTGGATCTTGCCCACTCCAATGCCGTGTTCACCAGTACATGTACCACCCACAGACAAAGCGCGGCTGCAAATACAGCGACTCGATCAAAAAAGGAAATACTATTTTAGACCAATCGAAAGATTTTGAGCAGGTGATGATGCAAATAATTTAGAATTTACAAGCACTATTTGGCTTAGGTAAAATTAGCCAGTTGTAATTGGCAACGAACTCCTTTTCAACTTATTTTCATAGTGTCTTTCTTGAAGTAGAAGGAGTACATTTGGATATCTTGAGAGGCTTTCCGCATACCAGAAAAATCAGTGCACATCAGTGGCGGACCGAGGAGGGGCGAGGGGAAGGGGTGTTGTCAATGTTGCTTACAGGAGTTATGAAGACTCTGCAAGTGAGTTGTTTGTATTTGTAGATAACCGAGATAATTTTGAAAATTCTACACTAATCTGAGCCTTGTCTGAATAACTTTTTCAGGGCGTTTCGGGGTAGCGGACCTGCAAAAATTTTGGGGTTCCGGCACCTTGAATCGGATAATCCCCCCCCCCCCCCACCCCCCAGATGCTGGGACCGCCACTGATACATAGCAAATATAGAAGAAACTACTCACCGAACTAATCTGTCCGAGAATGCATGCACCATCTTCATTTCTTCTTCATTCTCTTCAAATACAGGAATTGTCACATGGAAATTTCCGTCACCAACATGGCCGACAATAGCTCCTCAAAGAAGCTATCTATTGTTTGTTTCCGATTTTGTAGAAGTGTCAGAGTTAAGGCGTCGATCAATATTGGTATTTAATTTCGAAAATATTGAGAATCTACCTTTGAGACCAGTTGCATCGAGATCATTTCTTGTTTGTACGATAGTCTCAGCAAGCTTTGATATGGGCACGCAAACGTCTGTTATAAACCCCTGAACAAAATTGTTGTGGAATTTTTTGAAACGCAGCATTCTTTGCCTACAGCAGCCCCAGTCCTCATAGCTACGGCAGCGTAGTACGCATGATGACGAGCTGTCCACAACTTGTCCATTTGCTCAGGTTCGGTAGCCCATTGAAAGGCAGAGCCATTATTGCTAGTGCAGATTTCTCCTGTATTGCTTGAAAATGGTTTAGATGTAAATGTTAAAGCAGCTGTTCAGACAAATCTGGGGAACTAGAATTCTCATACGGACATTAGGGGTTCTGACTAATTATTAGGTTGGCTAAAGAAAATCTTTATGCAAACTTCCACAAAAAGGTTTCTCATTGTTGTTTAATTATGACTTTTCAAAGTTAAATAGTTAAAGCTTGTACTATCACAATGCAACCAATCAGGAGTTACTATTTACTATCAGTAAAGAATACTTATGCTTCGATATGGCCAAATTTTCAAAAGCTCAGTTCCAAGACTTCGCAGGCCGTTTCTGTGCTGGAACGGATGTACAGAGGAATGGAATGGTATTTGGATACAGCAAAGTTTTCCCCATATAGGCAATAACAGTTGAATTTGTGATCTGCCACTTTTGAAATTCTTTGAAAAAGAAATCAGAATTTCCCCTCATTTGCGCACAATAAAGAATTTGGAGTTTCTCACTCTTCCCCCTTTTCTTCATAAGAAAACATTTGAACAGCATTCACATCCCAATTCTCATCAATGTGCTCTTCCCGGAGATACCAAGTACTAGATAAAAACTGCAGGATTTGTGGGAACCGCAAAATCTGCCGAAATTATTCAAATATTAATCAACCTGATAGTTGGTCCAGTGGCAGCCCATGTAGCTCATTGATTGCCACGGGTTCCCCTAAGCTTTTGCCTTACCGTATTTTTTTCGCGCGGACCAATCGCATCCCCAAGAAGGTACATGAAAATTTAAGGCGAATTCTCGAATAGGTAGTGATCTAACGCAGATGTACTCCTTGTCGAACTTGCCCAGACCTTGCCAACAAAACAGCACTAACCGACAGTTTTTGCTTGCTGCTCGACTTCAGCCACAGTCTGACCATGGAACTCGAGAGCAAGGGTTGGTTGCTCCTGCAGTTCTATATGACTGTACTTATTGCAGGCAGCAACTTGTACCTCGTCGAGGAATTCTAAAATGGACGCTTAGTGGGGAAAACGGAACTTTTTAGACTACACCTATTCTTGCTATCGGGACAGCCATTTGCATTGTCTCTACAACTGAGTTCACAGCATCGGCTACAGTGGGAAAGTGACAGAGTGCTACGGATTGGGCTTGCGGTCGAGGATGTAACCTTGAAAACGTCTCCTTGAGCTCAGTCCAACCGCCGTCATTACGAACCGACCTAAGAACAGCTTTTGTTATGATACCGAGAGTTCCTTCAGACCCGGTGAATAGTCCAGTCAAGTCGTACCCGGCTGCTGATTTTCTTAATGACAATTATAATGTAAAACAAAAATTGCTGCGATTGAAACCAGCTACCGAGGCCGTCCACGTTCTCCTCTAGTATGTACAATGGAACCGTCGGCAAGTACAACTTCAAGATTCCGGACATTCTCTTTCATGGTACCTCAATAAAGAATTTCGGTCATAATAACAATAATTGTATCCCATAGCATACCGTATCGCACAGCGTTGGTACCACTTGCTGAGGTAGCTACCATTCCGCACAGAGAGGCATCAGCTCCAGGATCTAGATTAGTGTAATGTTCATATCTTTCAAAAAATTACTGTAAGACAGTTTCAGCTCTTGCGTGGCCTCCAATAAAATGGCTCAGCAAATTCACGGTTAAAATGACTCAAGAAAAATAGTAGCTAGTAAGAACTTTTCTAGCTGGAATTCCGCTATTTATCTTTTTCACATCAGCAGATTACTCCTATAATCTTCAAAAAATTACCTAGTTATTGCGATTGAATGCACAGGGTCAGTTTGATTATGGATGCGATTTAATCCGCTATCAAATTTATGCCGCCAACTCAAATAACATATAATTTAATCTCTTTGTAATTGAAGAGCTCTCACCTACTGGAAAAAAGAGACCGGTATCTCGAATAAAAGCATTCAGTTCTTTTCTGGTAACCGAAGGACGTACACTGACGTCAAAGTCTGCTTCGTTGAGTTCACAGATGCCTCCTTCAATCGCAGTAGTGGAAAGGCAGACACAGTCCTGGAATGATTTGTAATGTGATAATGTGCAGATCCATCTAGCAGGCGGAAGTTACAAAACTAAGTGGTATCGCAAACCCTGCAGTAAAAACATCTCGGGTGCATTCGTTGTCTGCACATCCAAATAGCACCAAACGGTCTATTGTGGACAATATGTACAAAACAGCTGCGGGTATGTTCCGGTAGCGACGAATGGTCGTGCTCCATCGCCTTGGCCCACAGGATTGCTGCTTCCAATGGCTATGCCACACTTGAGCACAACCGTGGAGCACGCGGGTCTTCTCGGGACGGAGCCCATGGTATGAGCACTGGTAACGAGATCCCCTTCTGTCTGCCATTCATTTCTGATGAATTGAGCAGGGCAGTGCGGCGAGGCGTACAGCAGGCGGGTTTGCACGGCGTGGTAAGAGTGGTCGATATTCCTCCCGCTAATCTCAAACGCCAATTGGTTTGCAATCGAGCTTATGACCGCAAATGTACCACTCCAAACTGCATGGTTTGCCCGTATGGTAGATGTGGGGACTGTATGCTAGCCGGGGTCATCTACCTCATTACATGCTTATCATGCGGTGACACTTATTGGCGAAACAGGCCGTCCGCTTTGCTGTCGCGTTAAGGAGCATTTAGATGGTTCAAATAAGCTCAAAGCAGCTACGCCACTAGGGGAACATCGCATAACGCGCCATGGTGGGGCTCCTATACAAGTTACTGTAGAGATCTTGTCGTTAGAACCCGAGATCCTCACGCGCAAAACACTAGAAGCGTTTTGGATTAGCGCCAAAAATCCAAAAATAAACCGGAAGGAGGAGTGTACCGCCATAAAGAGAGAACTCGCGCCTTACCAGTCCCTATGCGGATTCGAATATGAGGCCGGGTCATCAGGGCACGTATAAAAGAGCTGAGGTTGAGTCTTGTGTATAGTGGTGGTCCTCGGACTTCCGTCTTGTGCTATCTAAGGTAAGTGTGCTTGTGGGTGTGCTTGTGAATATGGTTTTGTTTAGCATTGGCCTTGTTCTTGAATGATACTTTGTCTATTGTTGACGTCTGGGCGAGTAAGTTCATATACTTTCGGCTTGCAGGCTCAAGGCGAAAGCGCCGAAACGTTAGCGAATGAAGAAGTGTTATCAACCTTGGAAGTTCGCTCAACCAATCCCACTACGAGTCCTGGAATGTTTTTGTAGACTTGCGTATAATTCAAGTTACAGAAGCAAAATGAAATTTGTGCGATGTTTTTATAGCGCTTGACATATTCATTTTCAGATTTTGTACTATAAAAGGCACCCCAAATAGTGCTCAATAAGCTGAAATGTCACAGACTTACCTCTAATGATACGCTACCTCCTTCCAGTCCAGTGCCAGTCCCGTATGGAACAACGGGGATGATCTCTTCATTACACACACGTAAGATTGCTGACACCTGCTCAACTGTTTTTGGTAAAAGTACAACTGTAGGAGGATGAGGCCTGAATATAAGTTCGTAGCCACCAAAGTAGAAAAGCACATGATGTCAGATCCAAGCAAGATTAGGTCACATATTAGGTTGGTCAGAAAGTTTGCCTTTTTCGATCTATCATCACATTTGGAACAAAGCTAAGTAAACGAATCAATATAATAAGACGCAGCTTTTCCTCTTTTCGGCACTTACGTTCCTGAATTAGTTGCTCTTGTGGTCGCTAAAATAATCGCCGAAGTTCCGAGCCTATGGTTCTCATTGCATGAAAGTTTGGCAAAATTTCAGAATTTTTATCTTCAGCCAAAATAGCTTCGATAACAGCTGAGTAAAGCAAACAGTGCAGTAAAGCATTCTTTGGCTTCTGTATCATTTCTTTCGGTCTTTAAAATCGAATTATTTCTTGATGCTGCTAAATCTACTAGGTTGCTGCATAAGTTCTGTCCGGTTTGAATTTTTTGAGTTCAAAACGTCGTAACTTCTTTCAAAGTAACTTTTTTCCAAGATCTTAGTTTCTCTGTGTTGAGCAGTTCCTTGGCTATAAAACACATATTGAGATCTGCGCAAGTTCTTGTTAAGAAAGAAGCAACAACTCAAAAACTTCACAGCGTTTCTCTTCAAACCTGTCTTTTTTGGCATGGCAACGCTCCCCTACGAAAATTGATAATTATCTTATCTTATAATGGATAGTATACTTGGGTAATTCGAAAATTTTTCATCGAATGAATGAATATCGAATAAATTCGAAAAGGAAAAATTTCTAATAAACGAATATCGAATAAATTCGAAAATAAAAAATCTCGAATAAACGAATATCGAATAAATTCGAGGTTCAAAAATTCTCGAATGAATGAATTCCGAATAAATTCCGAAAATCAAAAATATCGAATGAATGATTATCGAGTACTAGCTGGCTTACCCGGCTCCGCCGTATGTTCCGAATAGAAAATTCCATTTCTCAACCGATCCGGACCAAACTTGGCACACATACACTTCGGGCCCCGGCGGGTGTCACAGTCCACTTTTCGTTATCGATCGATGTCGATTTTATCGATTGTTGCAAAATTTGGGCTAGGGGGCTGAAATTTGGCAGAGGGGTGTAATCGAGCATGTTGATCACCCCGTGGGGGTGATCAGCATGCTTGATTACCCCCCTGTGCCACTCCCAGCCCCGTAGCTCAAATTTTGCAAAAAATCGATAAAATCGACATCGATCGATAACGAAAAGTGGACTGTGACACCCGCCGGGGCCCGAAGTGTATGTGTGCCAAGTTTGGTCCGGATCGGTTCAGAAATAAAAATTTCTATTCGGAACATACGTACATACAGACATACATACAGACATACATACAAACAGACATTCAGCTTTATATATAAGATATATTCGAACATTGGAAGTCGAATTTCGAATAAATATTCGAATGATTCATCGAATAACTAGAGCAACCATATCTCAAACTTGCTGACATATCTGGCTGAAACCGATCCATTCATAATCAGCACCCTCGTATCCTCCATACCAACTCCTAGCTCAAAAAATTCCGAAAATCGCAATCGATAAAATAAATTCCGGTTTTGATCAGCATCCTCATTTACCCCCCCCCCCTTGTACCAACTCCCAACCTCGTAGCTCAAGATTTTCCAAAAATCGACAAAATCGATAAAGTAAATTTTTATCCATAATCAGCACCCTCACTTACCCCCTTGTACCAACTCCCATCCCCGCAGCTAAGACTTCTCCAAAAATCGATAATATCGATAAAGTAAATTTTTACCCATAATAAGCACCCTCACTAACCCCCTTGTACCAACTCCCAGCCCCGCAACAACGGCACATATGCACTTAAATGCCACAAATGCTACGATGCATAGCCTGTTCATAGGAAACTTTCGTCTTGTGTGGTATTAGGTCGTGGACAAAGGCATGTGGTTAAGCGAGCACGACTGCCCTTAGCCCTGGGCATACTGCAGGCATTTCAGTGGCGACGTGGTTTGGCAATGGTCATGCCCAAAATTTATTCTAAAAGTACAGAATTCAGGACATTTATCTTTTTAGTAAGTTGTACGCTAAACATTTGTGGTAAGCAGGCGCTACATTTGAAGACATCTCGTAACTGGCAAATCGCGTACGGCCATCTAAATCGTCTAATCCTCCACTACAACTGCGATGTCCTACAATTTACACCAATTCGCAAAAAAACTCTAAGGTTGCGAATAGAGGCAGTTATGCAATATAACTTATGCAAGCAAGAGTGCTCACTAGTGTGGGCTTTGGATACCAGAAGCATGCGCAATCCATAGAAAGAAAAACAGGCATTTCAAAACACTTTCAATATATAAACTCGGAATATGAGCTTGAAATTGATAGCTTCTTTGCTGATTTGGTGCCAATAGCAGTGCGAACAATCTCATTGATAGAACAAGCATCAATTAAAATCCACATACGATTTTTTTTACTTCAAGCAGTCGGAAGAATGCGACCCTCCATACAGTTCAAAGGTCGTAACGGTTGCAAAAGATGCATTACCGAGTTTTGCGAGAAAAAAAAACGCGGACGAAGTGAACTTGATATTCAGCAGTTGGCTCTGCAACAATGTCGAATAGTTTGAATACGGAGTTTATCCGAATGCGAATTCGAATAAACATTCGAATAAAACATTCGAATAAAATCTATTCGAAACCTCGTTTTTTGATTATTCGAGTTTTCGAATAATATTCGAATCCTCGTTTTTTGACTATTCGAGTTTTCGAATTTTATTCGAAACCCCGTCCACTCAATTATTCGAGTTTCGAATATTATTCGAAAATGGAAGAACTCCGAATATCGAATTTCGAATACGAATATATTCGAATGTTTTATTCGAATGATCGAATTTCTAATCGATTCGGACCCAAGTATAATGGATAGATGGAGAAATTTTCGTATATTATTATGCAACATGAAAGAGCCCACAGGGTCTGCGCCGCCAAGAGATTTTTTTGACCGAGCAAAAAAGAAGCCACTTTTTGACCTCGCTTCAGCACATGTGTGCATGCCTATTTACGAATTACGAAAATTTTACAACTGACTTGAGCGCCGAAAAGTACTGGTGGATGGGCCCTGCTAGCTCTTGCTTTGCCGTAGCACCTCCAACCTTGAGCTTATCGATTACTTCTATTCGCAGAAAGTTATTGCTTGTAAAACAACTATATAAAAAATTAGTGTTCTACAATAAATTTCACCAGCAAGAAGTTCTCTTCATGGAACCGAAATTTTGCATATACTAGGCTTCTACACTCTTATTCCGCAGACAATGAAAGAACTTAACTTGAAGTGCGCATTGTGGAGATTTTTTCGCAAGAACATATTTCTAGAGTGAGAACGTACCTTGGCCACTTAGAGATTTTAGGCCTGAAATCTCCGCACACTAAAAAATTTATCAAAATCTGATATGCGTTAGAAAGAGCAAGGAAAGCACTTTCTAAAAATACTACTACCGCATTAGAGATGAAATGCTATTAGAACAGCTGCTTCAAACATAAGGCAAAAAAATTCGGACAGAACTTATGCAGCAACCTAATATAATTGTTCATCGCTAAAATCATAGATCATCAAACGATGAGCAACTAGAGTGTCACTCGATGTTACTTTCTCATCTCTTTCTGATAGATGTTTTTTCTTCCTAATTCTTGAAAGCTCCTAAGACAAAATTATCATAATTCCTGTTCTTAAACGCGGTCCGGGCTACACCCGCGAAATTTGGTCTAATATTTCGAAGCGTAAAAGCTCATTTGCTCTCGTAAAATTGGTGATCAATCACAATCGGTTTCCGGAAGTTTCCAAAGATTTCTTAGATTGAAGCGTTTATGTAGCTTAGAACTTTACAAAAATGAAGGTTTAAAGTATGCATATCCAGAAAATACTCTCGTTGTACTGCACCTCCTTTACTCTACTCAACTGTTATAAAAGCATTTTGAAAATTATGAAATGAAAATTCCAAAAAGTTGCTAAAGGTGGACAGGTAAAGATTAAGGTGCGAAACTTTGACAAATATTTTAATGACCATGACCAGAAAAGCAATTATTTTAGAAACCCAACTGCTGAAAAGAAGTAAAGCTGCGTCTAATAGTGCTTGAAACCCCATGAACGACTATCCGCAAATCTTGGCAGATTCGAGATAGTTCTTTCGCCTGACTAAGCCAGACCAAGGTCTTTATCAGCCTTATTCGGCTGATCTTTCAGTTTTTTCGTTTTCGACAAAGCTGGAGATTGCTTGAAACGTCTGCTTAAGTTTAATCCACATGCGTTACGATAGATAAAAAACCGACACGAAGTGACGGATCGGGAGGGGCGGAAGTGGGCGCCTTCCGCCGATGGGCAGGTCGCAGAATTCTTACAGCCTATTCGAGTCAGGTATTGTGCAAATGAACTTGTTTCGGCTTGTTTTGATAAAAAGGTTTCCAAGATTTTTGTTCATTTCCATGTATGAGTTTTTGCAGTTCAAATTTTCTTCCAAAAATACTAGCTGTGAAAAACATTTTTATGGGGGGCGGGTGAGCGAGGTTACTTATGGGCAGGCAAGAACTTTAAAATGCATCCCGAGAGATATTTTGGTGGATCTGGCTAACGCAGATCACCTCAAGCTACGTAAGATTGCCAACAACAGGAGAAACCCTGTTTTCCGCGAAAGTGACTGCCAAGTGTTCTTATGCTATTTTTGCGCGAGACGATTATCTGCAGTTTCAAAAAATTTTTTGATCGTAGCGCCAATTCTTTGATGTACCTGCACCATGACCCGCACCGCTGCAGGGGCGAGGAGGGGACATGGAGAATTGTTTTCCCGAAAAAGTTGCGAAAATGTGTCTCAGCACCAGAATCTAGATCTGCTGGAAATCGCACTTCCAAACATCCTCAACGCTATAACAAATCCAGACAGGGATTCTATCAAATGCATATTTTATACAGTTTTCCACAGAGCGGGAATGAAACTGTGTACCAAATCAAAAACGGCTTTCTTGCAACACAAACAATGATATGAGGCCAAATTTTGTGAGTAGATGCGCATGGGAAGAGTTGAACTATGCTTGATGAACCTTTGAACCCGTCACTCCCCGCCCAGTTACAGCAGCAAACTCCGAATGGTGGCACATATGTCACAGAGCTTCTAACTTCTTTTGGAAGTCGCTACTGATGCAAGCTTACCACTAATTATACTCACAATAGATGACCTTCATCTCTCGCGTATTGCATTCTTATTGCCTCCTTTGTAGAAACGGCTTCCTTCCCAAGTATAGACTCAAATTTCGAGATCTTCGACTGCACAGCAGACAAATGCCTCCAGGACGTGAATTCATGATGAACCTGAACAGTCTGACAATTCTCAGAAAGGAACTCCTAGGTAACCTAGAGTATCTCTCTGCAAAGACATATTTCTTCAGAGTTTGTACGGTTCGGAATTTGATTACTTGAACGAGAAAAGCATACTTCCAATCTCATATCATGAAATGCATAGGAGAAATTTCTAAAAAGCTTTCGAAGGATTTAAGAGGCAGAAGAAAGACATCAGAAAACACATTCTCCAAGCTAAGTAGTCCCGGCGATAAGTTTGTGAATCTGATCTCACCTCATCGAAGTTTTCTTGAGCCAAGTCCTACAGACCTACCTTAGGAAGACAGCTTTGTAGACATCGGTACATCTAGGACGAGATTGATATAATAAAAAAACGAAAAAAAAACAAATAACTAAGAAATTATAGGTCTTTCTCCTTCGTTACATGCAAAGGAAATTTTCGTATTCATTTAAAACGATTGTTAAGTCAAACAAGAACAACATGACTATCTACCCGTACAATAATAGCCTGAATCACTGGTTAGCAGCACGTGCAATGAGAAAGCAACGATAACAAAACGTGACAGTATTTCTATTCTATTATAGATAGTCTATGTCGAAGATCAAGTGTAGACGATGGGAACAGAAATTAGCAGCTTCGAATGATCAGAGCTAATCTTGTGCTGGATATTTTTCGTATCCATATAGAAAGGTACACAAAAATCGTACAAACTTCTTGTGTTGCCTTCCAACAGTACAATTCGGTCGCGATTCATTCTCAACCGTAACCTGAAAGTAGAGACGTCGTACAAATGTCTTACTTTTGTCAACTCAAATATATGGTGGAAATATGCCATTTCCAGCGGCAATCGTTTCGCGTTTGCGATTCTTTGGGTTTTGTTCGAACATTCATCAACGCTGATCCTCTTTAAGCTCGAAACATAGCCGATGAGCGAATTCAGTCTGGCCGAACCGACATTGACACGCTTTGTAAGTAGGACGTACACTGTTTGTCTACTTCGAGAGAGATGAAAGAGTACTACTCATCCTAATTTGATAGTTCGCTTTTCCCGACTTCGCAGGGTGCTGAACACGCTAGTTCTACTAACGATATGAAAAAATTTTTCATTCGCCACATGCGCCTTGACTAGTGCGCGGAGCGGTGCGAAGACTGCTGATGCACGAGGGTGGAGAATGGGCACTTGTGGAACAAGTTCGCCTTTGCCCCTTTCAATTTCTACGATTTCCCACTTGATCGGCTCGCAAGTGGATTGTTCTTTGAAGCACATTTTCTTTCCTGAGAGGAGCTTCGTCGTTGCTTTTCGAACCCCAACAACGAGAAGTGGAGGAGGTTTGAAACCAAAAATTACTACATAGACATAGTGAGCTTTGTGTGTAGAACAGATTTATTTGAGTATTATGAGAACTTGATGTTTTGCCACCCTCAAAGTGCAATAGGTGGGCATTGCCCACCTAATTTGCAAAAAATTAAGCAGGCTCTCAACTCACAAAATTTTTGTATAATTTCATACTTTGCTCTAACTCACCTTGCGCATATTCACACATTAGACTTGGAGCCAAATTTCATCGATGAAGAATTAGGAAAAAACTTGCTACAAGCTCCAATTACATAAATTTTCCACAATACTCTGCATTATGTTGCTCCTAGCCCTAGCAGTTAATTAGGCACTACTCAATAAAGAGCAATAATGATTTTGGGAGATGACTACCAGCAAGAACGTATTCTTGCATGTCAGTAGTATAACAACTTATCCAGAGCGTGTATGTACACGTAAAGATATATTCATCCCCTTTGTTTATCCCTTTCGAAAACATGCCTTTTGCTTTTTTCTCTAATGTCTCGGGCAGAGTTCACGCGATTTGACCATCGCGATTCAATCGCTACGAGACAAATTTTACGAGTTCATTGCATGGCGATCTTCTTGTATTTCGTTTGTGATAGTTAGTCACGATTTGTCGTGTTGGAAATCTATCACAATCGAAATGCAAGAAGATTGCATGCAGTGATACTGTTACAGTTGTCTTGTCGCGATCAGTCGCGACGATGAAATCGCGTGAACTCTGGCCGAGGCCCAAAACAATTTTCGGCTCAACATTTGCCACCCTCGAGCTGAGCTCTATGCTGAGGTAGAGAATAGGAAGCATGACCACTTGAATGAAACTTCAAAAAAAAAAACTCTTGATTATTTGAAAGCATGATTGCTTTTTTGTGGCTCATTAAGACTACAATCATGCTTCTATCAGGGCTTGCGGATCCTATATTGCGACACAGTAATGCAGGGATGCACTAAGGAAGGCGGAGTTTCAGTATTCACATTTTGAACTCATTCTGAACCACCTGAATGATCATATACGCCATCCTATGAAATTTGAGATGGAAGCTAAATTCCACTAGCGGAAAAATGAACGAGTTGAACCAGAAAACAAATAATCAGAATAGCTACTTCTACATTCGAGATGCGACATTAATGAATGTTTATTTATTCAAAAAAATTGCAGCTATTTCAAATTCTTCCAATTATTGAACATGTATCATCAGATGCGGTCAAAACGAGTAGTCATTAACAACGCGCCGCAGCCACCATCAAAAGCTCTTTACTTCATCACACGCCGTTATGAAGTCTTCATAATGGTAAATGCCAAATGGTCGGCTTATACCCAAAATATCGGCTGACACTTACCTCGATGTCTCGTAATCTCCTTGTAAGCTCAACTCAATTTCGAGACGGGTACCCTTCAATAAGCGCATTCGAACTCCATCAGGCTGCTTCATTTCCGCGAACTTCAAAGGCTACAAAAAAAATGCCACATACAAAAAATGCGAGATCCAATATTAACCTGAACATCTGCAGAGACATCGGATGATGCAATTTCTTGTATGACAGGAGCTACAGGTCTTTTTGCAATTCGCATTGGCTCTATACTGCCCATGACTGTCCGATTTTTCAGCTTTATACATTTGTTGGGATCCAATTTCAGGTGGTGCTAAACAAAAATACATGATCTCAAGCAGAATCAAACTACAAAAAGTACCTTTTCTTCGATAGCATCACATATGACCATGCAGAAAAAATGACGGAAGAAATTAGCCGCAGCAGGGGATAATCTTTTTTCATAGAAAACGCTGTTTACCAGAACGTCAATCTGGAAAAGGCAGTCTAGACGCAGTCGTCGCCTCCAACCTACGACCAATTTTCCCAGATTTTGACACTATATCACCGCATACTTGATTTTATAAACTCGCTACAAATCTAAGGAGTCTGTTCAAAATCATCTTTTCCTTCAAGAAATTACACTGAAAAATCATGGATGCCTGTTTCTCTCCGTTTCCATTTCACCAACGTACCTAATCTCTGAGTGTCACTATTTAATGGACCAGAACACCCGAATCAACAAATTACCAGCATTGGGATTTACAGGCTTTGGATTAAAGTTCTACTTTGGTGGTATTTCCCCTCAGACGTACAAGATCCAGGAATGGGCTTCCTTCCTTATAGAAGCAGTATTTTTCAGTAAAAAGCTCAAATTTACCACTTCTTCGTAAAAAACGCACTTCAAGAAATTACTTAAGATTTGGGAATGAGCCGACGTTTTATTTCACACTGAGAGGTACAATTATCTGATAGACTTTATAATCGCAGGTACATACTGCATACTACGGGATACAGGATATATGTATTTGCTCTACAACACATTATTCACAGAAAATGACGTGATGATCATTTGATTGCATTGCGGTTTTTGGAGTGAGCCCTCGTTTTAACCTTATGAAATGATCTGCCTCAGGATAAGTCACATTCACCTGCTATTCAAAAATTAACACAAAAACGGTGAGAAAAAACCGAATAAGTTGATCTACTCGAATTGCGCATACATCGATAGGCGTGTTCAAGTCACTACCGCTTGAACTACTCTGAACTGTGTTCAGAGTTGCCTGTGTCGACCCCGTGCTAGCACTGGCCGGGAAGTAGATCGATCAATACCGGCACGGCGCTTGCACAAAGCGGTACATATCAGCTTTGGGCGCATTTTTGACTAGGAATTCTTCGGATGTTTTTCCAAAGTCTGACCGTTTTTTCGAACTAGCTTCGCAGACCTTAGCTAGACTCCACAATGTAAATCCGTCCCTTCAATGGTACATGGCAGAATTTCCATGCTTCTGGTGTGCCAAAGATTGCAAGAGTCACAGTTTTAGTGCCAAGCAAGGCACTAGGCAGCCGCGTTACAACGTAGGAGTATATCACTCTAATCTCTTGATAAAATGATAAATCGAATGAGAGGTCTGGGACAGTAAGGATCTAAGAGGAACGTTCAATAGCATGGAGGCACTTTATCGGCCACGCTTGACAAGTACGAGAGTGTCGCAAGACTTGTAACCTGACTTCCTCTTAAAGTTATCGCAAGTCCTCACCGCTGCTAAAGACTCGCCCATTACTGGACATTAAGGTAGAAGGTTCACGATAAGTCAGTCAGCAAAAAAGCAAGCACGTCATTTTTTTTGATATTTGATGCTATTACTTGGTCATTAAAAAAAGGCGGCTTACTCATCTCTCTTACTAAACAGATTTCTACTCCTCCCCCTCCCCTCCCACTTCCGTCACCGATGAGCGAATGACAGTATACAGGCATGAATTGTCATTGTAATGATGGATATTTTTTACATGTGATTTTGGAAAGCTCATGCAAGCTAAAAAGTTTGGAACTTCTCTTTCTGTCCTTTTACGCAAGAGAATATGGTGCAAATTCCTGTATATCACAAAAATCCCATACCTTTGGTTGATTCCTGCCTTTACTGTCAACAACGCTGTCCAACTCCCCAATGCTGACTGGTATCCGATAACCGATATCACCCTTATCTATCCTTGCTGCTAACTCATCCTAAAAAATCAGCACTGCATACAAGCTCAAACAAAAATGATAAAGTGAGTGAAAGTCTTCTGTTGTAAAACGTTTACCTCATCAATATCGTCAGTCGGTGGCGGTAGCTGTTCACAGTGACATATATTCAGGAAACACCGATGCTCTTCCGATTCACCGTAAACCTCCTTCATATTTACCTGATGAAGAATTTTTAAACACAAGACAGAATGTTGTTGAAGTTACACTAAAGGCCACAAAAACCATGCTAAAGCCAGTCATAAAATCTGATCCATCTGAGCCTCCGGTATTACAAAGTTTGCATTATTTCAAAGTCAACTCCACGTTTTTGTTAATCGTTCTTATCATCTATCCTCTGCAAGATTTTCCACATCCTCTGCATTTTACGAGATTACTATCTTTCATTTGCATACAAGAGTGAGTAGTATGCGTGATTGTACCTGTCACGTTCGGAGCACACACTGAGATATACGGTGAGCTGCATCAGAAAAGCTATGCTGTCCTGATGCATTCGACCACATTTTTTGAATTCAATCTCATGCCGTAATTCCCAAGTAGTTAAACCGCCGCGATTTTGTCAGGACGTAGAAAGCTTGCTTTAAACACGATATAAGCTCTGTCGACCCGAGCATTACAACCCAGCACGATTACGATTTCCAAGGCTCTATTTCTAACAGTTCATAACAGCCGTGCCTAGTTCACAAATACCCGGACAAAACGCCAAGGATATTCTATAAACAGCGCATTATAAACACAAAAACTTTCTACAATTCCAAAGATTTAGATGTACGCATATCAAACTTTCCCATAAAGTGGATGATCCCATATATCAACATCATACCTCGGTAAATTTCAGAACGTATCCAGGTGTGGGTGTTACGGTCCATGTCTCTTGTACTTGCTGTTTTTCTACCTTCAGACTCATCTGAGAAACATTATTCTTATAAACACCGTCTACTTAGTACATAAGTATACCAGCAGGACCGATGGAACTTTGGTGAAGAGGTAACTCGCCCAGTAGAATTTTATTGCAAATAAGTTAAACTAAGTTAATAATTTGAATAGGCTTTGTATATAATCATGAAAATCAACCATATAAATCGGAGGCAACAAGTAGACCCAAACAGGAATAATGATTCTGAAAAAAATCATCTGAAATTTTACAGATAAAAACACAGAGGAACTCATAAATCACATAATCATTGGTAGGTCAGAAACATGCGAAAGTGGCTTTTATGCCAGTTAAACCGTATTACATCATGCAAAAAAATGAATACATTTCTAAATGTATACATAGTCTTAGTGAAGTAAAAAATGGCTAAAAACTACAGACGCGTTCTAGAAAATTGCAAGTAAAGCAAAAACGGAGTATAACAAAACACAAGGATATGCCACCAACAAACGCTGGTGGTTCATGTTTAGAGCTATGACGAAGAGCTTCGATGAAGATGAACTGCACCAGAGGACAGCAAGTGCTGACACCGAGTAACCGAAAATGCCCTAAAGACATCGTCTTGAGTTTGATGAAGCAAAAGCAAGAGCAGTAGTGTCTCACGCTCGGGTGCGCATATATACAACTACCAATATATTGCGTTACGCAAGCAAGCAAAAAGAGAAAGCAATGAGAAGCAAAACAAATCTGGTACTTTTATAAACTCTTTGAAACCTTCCACCAAAATTGTCAAAATATCCAGCTCTATTTGCAATGAACAATTCTGAACAAGCAATGTATCATATGTTTGCGACCAAATTTTCATGCACCGATAATCAAAACATAATCGTGGTTGAAAGCCACATAAAATAAAGAGCAAAAATAAACTGTCCTCACCTTGAACGAGAGAACAGCCGTAATCAAGCTGAGCAGAGCCATTGGGAGCAAACAGTAGCCTAGCACAGATGCGGTACAAACAAACGAGATGCTTTTGTCGGCTACAAAAGCTTATTGAAAGAAGTTATAAACTTCAGATACCTCCGAAAGAGGAGTATCTTACAAGCTAATAAGGTTCTAGTAACATAGCAGAGCAGTTTATGATTTGATGAATAACATACCGGCCATTAAGTTCATGAGTGCGTACATGCCAACACAACCAAGTCCTCCGATGCCATAAATGTAGCCAAATGTCATTTTACCATGCAGCAGTAGAGCAAAACCTATAAGCACCGCATATATGACAGTCAAACTCTCTACTACTTACCAAAAAGCAAACAGAATACAAGAGGTCCTGCAAGATCCTGATCCGCTATAACTTCAGCTGAAGCAGTACCAGCAGGATTGAGTACAGCAAATGTTTTCTCCTTGATATGCGAGAAGTTTATGCCCAATTCTTCAAGCAAAGGTGGCTCATTCTCGTAGTCCTCAGCATCGCCAGCAGCTGGACCTTAAAAAGATCTTCATCAACAACCAACAAAACAGTACTCAACTTTGTAGCCACAAGAATTTGAGATATCAGACTGGAGACTCAATAACTGTTAGTTTTTACACGAGAGTTTTCCGGCCCCATTTAAATCTACATTAAATCTACAATCTAATCAATCTACATTAATCTACATTTCTACATCTCGGCTGCGCGGGCGGTCGCGTCGCGCGCACAGTTTTGTCGCCAGGTCACGCTTGCTCGTCTAATCATTCTCGACCACTATAGAGCAGAATGACACTCATGTCAGACCACTTCATGCGTTTTTCGAAAATTTCACGCCAACGGTGTGAATAGTGAATCGTTCTTATATCTGACACTTCACCGGCTTGAAGAGTGTGAAGGGTTCATACATTGACCGAGCTCTCTGCCGGCATTTGTGATCTCTTCTATTCTTGTTTTCTTTTGATGAGTTATATGCTCGACTAAGGCTAGGCTGTGCCACTGGGATCGCGTAAATAGCGTGTTGAAGAAGCAAGATTGGATGTTTGGTATGCCCATTGCTTTCGAGAGCTGCGCTATCACAGATGAATTTTTTCCACGTCAAAACCATAGGAGAAAAAATTAGTCTTGGTATATTTTTCCGTCTTAAGTAAGCTTCTTTGGTCATGTTAGCGTTGCTCAGGTTGCTGGAACGCAAATTTTTGATGGGGTTATCGTGTTCTGAGTGCGAGTTGATACGACGTGCACATTCTTGAAGCTGGTATCACGTTTGGATCGAAAATAGGTATCATCTATTCTGAAACTAGAAAAGTCGAGTATGCTTTGCACACCTTGTCTCAGCAAGCCTTTGTACTTTTGTTCTTCCCTAGTTCAGAGTAGTAAATAGATCGATCACAAGTGTAAAGTTGCTAATCACACACACGGGCTTGTTTAGATATGTATGCAAAGCGCCTCCGAGTCTTTTAGCCTCATTGTCAGAATAAATGGTCAACTTTTCTGTAAAATATCCAGGAACACAGTCACATGCTGCCTTAGATGATGATGTCTTTCAAACTCCAAATACAGTTACACAAAAAACGAGGTGAAACGATGCATTAACTCGTTAGTTATTAGTTATACGTATGCAAAGCATACTCGTGTCCAAGTTTCGGAATGGACGATAGCATATTAAACATGTTCAAAAGTAATGAGCAAAGAAGGATAAACTTAGAACTGAACAAATTGTCGGCGGTGAATGCGATTGGAAAGTTTCAGTGAACATCCACTTATAAGGAAACGGCAAAGAACTTCTTAGACCGTAAGATTCGAATGCCTTGATCCTCTTATAATATCGCCTTAATCCACATCTAGGGTCGACTCGACACTACTCCGTACTTGTGTTGCCTTATATGCACGTTCCGACTTGGTAAATCAAATCGTCACATTCAACCCACAAACCGACAATCCTGCACGGGTTCAAGTAATCGAGAGATTAAAAGGTGAATCTGAAGAAGTAGTGCAGAAGCAGTCGGAAAATCAAAACCAGAATAAAAAACATCCTATCCTGATTGAGTTCTATCCTGAATTGACAGTGAAATGTTCACTCCTGAGCGCGACCTGAGCAAGCGTGACCCAGGCATACAAAGTGGCTGCGCGACGCGACCGCCCGCGCAGCCGACTATGTAGATTTAAATGGGGCCGAGTTTTCCAAATTATCATGAACTGCTAACAAGATGAAAAGATGTCAACGCGCATTGTATTATTGCATTCTAATAGAGAAAAACAAAATGAAAGTCATAGAACACCGATACAACACACATAACCGATCACAACATTGAATGAACACCAATATATTGCATTGAAATGAAACCCATTTAGGCTCAGCATTTAAGAAATTATCAAACTGTTTGAATACGCAGGAACTTTCGTTTTACCCTTTCATTATACTTCCCCTTAATTTGTTGAATCACTTACAAGGGAGGGTCACGAAGTCGAAGTGGTCGATTACCACAAATTGCATACTGTTAATGAGAGTTTGAAACGCTGATACCCTTTCCGCTTATCCTGTTTGCAGAGCGCTTCAAGATAGGAAGTCATGAGCTTTTTTGAGGCGGGGAAATGAACAATTTGCGGCATAAAATCAATCATTACGTCCTTTCTAGACGTCACCTGGAGCAATAGAAAGTACTGGTACACATATCCTGACACATGCCGCGGATTCTTTTGGGGCCTTGAGAAGCTGTGGCGATTCACTGTATCCCGAAAATGTGTTCATTTTTGCCGCTCAATAAATGCTTATTGCGTCATTCCCAGAAGCACTCTGCAAATAGGAAAAGCAGAATGTGCGTCAGCGCTTTAAGTTCTCATAATCGTATGCAATTTGTGGTGATCAGTTATTTCGACTTCGTGACGCTCCCTTGTTAGATCGTTATGTAGCACTGATGCAATCCAAGTGCGCAGATTGTCAAATGGGTTAGCTGCGAATTCCACAGCCATGTCATTCCTTGTAACACTGCATTTGCAGATCTATCGTTTCGCACAAACGCACATTGTATATGCATTATTAATCTTAAAAAAGGGTCCTCTACCTTGCCGGGCTTCATGGTAACCGCGGATAAGCACAACACAACCCACCGCTAACTTTTAAGTCGACAAAAAGCTAACATTCTTGTCAATCATTATGAGACAGAGACGGTAAATGATTAAAGAATGTTCAATGCGAAGTCGCATTGATAAGGAAATGGTTAACGAAAAAATGTCAAGAGAAACTAACAAGGAAAGGTAACGAAATGTCAGTCGAAAGTAACAAGGAAAGTGTTTTTGATCGAAGTGGCCTTTCCATAGAATTCTAATACTATCTCAAAGAGCATTCACCGCTGTCCGAACCTATTTATGAAGGCAAGCGTCATCGGGCATAGGGTTATGAGTGTTTTTGGACCCAAAAATGAGTGCAGAACCTAAGCACGATCAATTGTTTACGGTCTTTCTAGCGCCCAAGTAGAGCAGTGTTGAGCAGGAGAATATTGAACAGAAGATCTATTGCATAAAAGGATATTTTGATCACTAAGCTATTTGAGCAATTCGAAATTTTGATCCATCTAAGCGTTTGATTAAGTAATCCAAAAATGATCGTAACTCGACGACTAGAAAGGCTTCGCAGGAAGCAAAAATAAATTGAAATCATCGGTGAAGCCTTTTAAAGTGGTATGCTATATGTAGAAAGACCACTTCCTATCGAACAATTTCCAACAACATACATTTACGCAAATAATTCAAAAAAAGAGGTTGAAAATTATCGTGAAAAAAGGACAAAAATGTGAAAGACTCACCACCAAATCCGGCATTTGGCACAAACATCTGACCTCCATAGTAATTTTGATTCTGTGTGTAAGCTGATTGCTGGTTATAGTAGTTTTGATCTTGAAGGAGAAACTTTATAGGGTCAGCAGTAGATCAGAAAAGTTTACCGTTTCCGTACTGCTGTGTGGGAGGTTGCTGCTGTGCCTGCGAGTAATCGAATTGCCCCCAATTCATCTGTGCTTGTGGTGCACTTTGGCCTTGCCCATACCAGGAGTCCTGTTGACCATCATCTACCCACAAGTTAGACATGTACCTGACTACACTGACATGATAGAGACCATCTAATTGAAACAAAAAGAAGATAACGAAACGCGATCTGCAAAAGTAAGCAGCTATTATAAAGAAACGAAACAAAATTGATCAAGTGCTTAGAACTATTCAAAGTGCTAGTGATGTCGTGCGCGATACAGATAAATTCAATGTACGCCCACGATGTCTTGTTACAACGAGTTATTTTACATAAAATCAAGTAATTTAGTGCCAACTCCACAATAAAGTTTAAGGACTAGTGAAAAAGGGCAAGCCACTTCCACAAAGGAAAGAAAATCCCACAACAAAAAAGATCTTCTAAATTCCTAAAAGTAATGCAATAGCTAAGTTAGCCTTATAAGGCTAATTATGTGACAAGTGTACTATTCTACCGTGAAAAACGAGCTCCCTTTTAGGCGTGATATACAACCGGTCGCGGTTACACAAAACATAATCTATTTTACGAACCAAAGAAACGCGTGTCCATTCGAACAACAACACTCTAAATACGCGGCTGTCGGATTGTGGATTGGAATAAAAAAATTTTCGCTGGACGATAAAGAAGAAAAATAAGCAAAACAAACGCAAAAAAGATTTTTGAAAGCATATATTTGTGTATACGGCGGCATATAAATGGTGCTCTTTCAGCTAGTGAAAAAATCGAGTATTGAGATTTTTAAAATTATCATTTTAAATAATTTTTAAAATTTTTAAAAATTTACGCCATTTTTGCGTGTTTTTTGACAGTTGACAGTTAAACTCATATAAATCTTGAATGTGAAAGTGTGTGATGTTGCGACTTCATAGGTTTTATAGAGTAAGGTTTGCCTTATCAGGATATATTTTAGCCGTTACGATCCATTGAAACACCTCCGAGATCCAGAGTCTTGAAAAAGCAGGTAAAAAAGCGCTTTTTGAATTTTAACAGCTCATAACTTCTTCAAAACTGCATGAAATTTGTCGCGACTTCATGGGTTAGATTCTTCTCGTCAAGAGCTTTCAGGTGATGTATAATATGTGGGGGTTTAGAGCCTCCTACGAATTATGCCCGTGGGGGAGCCTTTTCATACCAAAGTCTCCCCCTAGCCCACTTTAACACATTGACGGCCGCTTGACACACATGGTGTGTCAAGGCTTGATCGTTCCAGAACTTTTCTTTTGCTCTTAATCTGGAAATGACTTCTATCTTCTTTGTCAGCCCTTCGCAGCTACTGTAAGTATACTGTAGATGGCAGTATGCGCGATTTTATCTGAAAAATGCTCAATGGTCCGTGGAAGGTCTTGGTTCCAAAAGGCAGACATCAAAAATATGCATGGTCGTCAATGTGTTAATGTATTGGAGGGGGGAGACTTTGGTATGAAAAGGCTCCCCCACGGGCATAATTCGTAGGAGGCTCTAAACCCCCACATATTATATATCATCTGAAAGCTCTTGATGAGAAGAATCTAGCCTATGAAGCAACATGATTTATGCAGTTTTGAAGAAGTTATGAGCTGTTAAATTTCAAAAAGCGCTTTTTTACCTGCTTTTTCAAGACTCTAGATCTCGGAGGTGTTTCAATGGATCGGAACGGCTACAATATATTCTGATAAGGCAAACCTTACTCTATAAAACCTTTGAAGTTGCACATCACACACTTTCACATTTAAGATTTATATGAGTTTAACTGCCAACTGTCAAAAAACACGCAAAAATGGCGTAAATTTTTAAAATTCTGGTTTCCAACGACTGTCTCTCAAATCTATTCGATTTTTTCACTAGCTGAAAGAGCACCATTTACTCTTTAAAACCTATGAAGTCGCAACTGGTGACATCTTCAAACAACAGATTTATAACAGTGAAAATTTCGCATGATTTTTCACTATTTAAATATTCAAAATTCTGGTTCTCGGCCGTTACTGCCTAGATCGACCTACTTCCCTCGCAGTATGTTATGACAAAAATTAATTAATAAAATCCGTACAGTCCAACAAACTTTTACTTCCAAATACACCATTTACTAAACACGTCTATTTTGAATTTTTATAAATAAAATTCATAAATATTTTTAATATGCATCGTGTCTGTATCCCTAAAGAAAGCCGCTGGGTCATAGTTCGACCTAGAAAGATAGCTCTGTTCGACCGTTCTACCCCCTCCCCGCACCTCCCTCCCCCCCCCGTCGACGTTTTTGGGAGGTGAGTGTCCGACACTACCACCTTCACTTTTCGCCGGCCAGTGGTAGCTGGGAACACCTTCACTTTCGGTGGGCCCGCCTCCCCCCATCGCACCTCTGGTACCCACCGTACGACCCCCCCCCCACATATCCCTCTTCCACCAACCCCCCTCCCCCTCCCGCAACCAATAACAACCAAGAAAATTCAGCACTCAAACGGCTCACTTCAGTCAATAGAATTGAATATTCTATAATAAGTCATTTTCTAGTGACAGATAATGAACTCTTCTGCCGTTTATGAATATTCGGCATAACTCATTCATGTTTCAGGATATTGAAACGATAACGAAAGATATTGACAATGGTTCTGGAAATTAAAACGTTTTAGATTTTAAGTGTTTCGTCCTCGTAAGCGACAATATTTTTTTTTGCAGGGAGAAAAAACGATGTCTAAAAGCGTAAAATTGTTTTCGACTATAAAGCTTACTTTCAATCTATTGCACAGGTTTTCCTGCGAAGAAAACCGTGCAACCAAATTTTCAAAGTACCGTGCATGAGCACGGTACTTTGAAAATTTGTAACTAAGGTCAAGGAAAGACTGAGAGGCTGTAATGTATAGGCTGTATAGTACTGTGCCCTGACTTGTCAGGTATAAGGTCTGCAGGTCCTTTACCTGATGTGTAGCGGGTTTGCATAAGTCTTACTATAATATTTATTATAAATAGTTATATACAAAAGGGGAAAGGGGAAGGGGAAGGCCACCGGCTAGTGCTGGCGGCCGGAGGTCACTGCCAGAGGTTGGCTGTCTTAGGCCAACCTTCTTCTCGAGCAGCTGTTGTAGCTAGCTGCGTCCCGACATCTCCATTCCTTCGAGAAGCTCGTCCTCGAGCTTGTGGCATGGCTGAGGTTTCGAGACGTTGTAGTGGTTGGCGTTGATGTGGTGGATGTTCTTCCGGGTAACGTGCGTTGGACTTTGCACGTAATTTTACGGCGAGAACATACAATTGAAGTAGTGATATATTGAGATATGGCGGATGTTCTTCCGAGTAACGTGTGTTGGAATTTACACGTGATATACGGCGAGAACGTACAGATTGAAGTAACGCGTGTATTGAAGATACATAATAAATTGAGGATACGGATCCGGTGGACTGCGAGCAACCACGACCTTCACCTAGAATATCCTATGGCGTTGAGTAAGATCGTCCTCGAGCTTGAAGGTAGCTGAGGAGAGGGGGAGGAACTGCGGAGAGATGCAGTTGGTATGAATGGGGTTCCCGACGTGATGCTGGGAAGGAGTTGGAGTGGAATTATAGGAGATGGAGATGGACCGATTGATTTTGGGGCATGGTAAAAATGGAGTTGATCGAAGGGCAAATGATTTAACATTTGGGGTGGAATTTACAGCATGTAGAAAAATTGTAGTATGAAATTAGTGAACATACGAAATAGAAGGTATGAAAAAAAACTGGTTAACAGCAAATTATTTTACGGTGATAATAATGGTAAATTAGTGATAAATTCATGATATATATACGCAGTTTTAACAGTAATTTCTAGGCAATTATAAAACATAATTCAATAGTAATTTTACAAAGTTACAAAATTTTGTTCACAGTAACATTTTCTGTGAATAATTGCATGTAAAAACAGAGGCGTAACGAGTTCATATGTTGAATTGGGCACTGCACACTTTTTTTCCATCCAACATAAGGGCAAAATTTGTTTGTTACAAAAAGGGTTTTGATGTTGAGCTGCTTAGTGCGAAAGATTTCTTTAAATTGCCTGTTCAAAGAAAATTTTAAGGTTCGTAAATACGCGACGCTGCAGCAAAAATAGGGGAAACAAACTGACCTTAGAGAATAAATAACTGCTCATTGCAAAATATCGAATGTTTATAAAAATTTAGCGAGCGATTATTCATCCTCTCCTTCGGAATCGATGTTTGGATCCGCTGTGAATGTTTTCTTCAGTTGCAAACGAGGAGTTCGTTTGGCAAACTGAGTCTGTTCAACATTTTCTGGAGTTTCCGTTGGCTTATGTGATATAGTAAGTTTTTGGGGGGAAACTCTAGCCAATGTTGAACTATGAGAATAGATTTTGAGTCTATTCATATGGACACATTGAGTTTTAGTAGGTCCAATCAGGTTAGATATAGTGACATTCGGACGATAGACTTGCACAACCATAAAAGGGCCTTTCCACTGGTATGTAAATTTTGGACGAATAGTGTCGTCTCTTAGTAATACCAAATCTCCAGTGGAAATTTCCTTAGAATAAACTTTATTATGGAAATCATAACCTGACTTATACGTCGCTGTTTTGCTGGCGATCTGGTTGCCAACTTCCATAATTGTGGTTTGCAGTGCAGTGGTCAGCTGGTCCGTGAAACTATCGGTTGCGTAGGAGATCCTCGATGGTAACTGATGGACTATGTCGCACCAGGTGATCGGGTGAAGACCATACACAACGAAGTACGGGCTATTTCCTGTGATATCGGTTAGATACTAGTGTTGTGGACGAAGAAGATCGGCTGCAGAAAATCAGACCATAGCTCTTTGGCTTTTGGACAGTAAGCCGTTAGAGAGTCTGTAATCACTTTAACCATCCTTTCAACTTGCCCATTTGCTTTGTGGTTGTAACTTTATGGTGAACATGTTGGAAATGCCAAGTACTCGGTTCATTTTCGCAAACATTTCACCAGTGTAATTAGACCCACAGTCGGACACTAGTTTGTTAGAAATGCCATGTTTTAGCCATGACATCGTTTATCCTAGCTTTGACAACAAGCTCTGTTGTCTGGTTGGGGTTGCGGTGCAAATTATGAGTTTGCTGGACGCACAGGCGTGGCGATGAATCAATTACCGTTTATACAC